TTCATTTAAAGTTAAGGCAAGACTGCTCCACGAACTGCTGTATGCAAATAGCCAAATAACGCAATGCGACTTATTCGGGGGAAATTGAAACATGTTCGAACTGTTTAACTTTAGAGTTTAGAGTTTCGAATTTAATGCAACCATCTATGTAGGCACACAAAATGCTATGATTCTATGGATGAAACGTTAGAAACATGGGTACACAGAGAAAAGACCATTGTTGGTTTAAAATTGGAAGTGATTTACCATAATTTTGGTACTAATCAAAAATTTTCTGTTTATATAATGGAACCCTTTTGAAGGAATCCTTAAAAATGTGTTCTTTGAAATAAGCACAAAATGGTAAATTTTTTCAACCATAAACCAATAAGGACTCTTTTCTCTGTGTAGAGTGAAAACTTGTACAACTGTTTTTAGTGGGTTAACACAGGGTTTAATGGACTATGGCTAGGCCTATCATTAATTTGTATGATTTTTCATTTTTTTTCGTTTTTAATTATGATATGTGTTCTTAGATAAGACTAAAATCGTTCGACTAGCTTTCGATTGGTTTCGGGTTTTCGGTTGGGTGGGTGACTGAGGTCGCTCCCTAGTAGGAGTACTTGGTGACCATCGCGCCCGACCTCTCGTTGCGGTAGGTCTCCCGGCGGACGGGCAGGGATTCGGAGACGGCGCGATGGAGACGCGGCAGCTGGGCGTCCAGACTGTCGCGGAAGGTGCGAGCGGCGGTGTTGCCGCCCGCCTCCACGGTGTCGATATGCTGGCGCACCATGCCCAGGATTCGCGTCCTGTTCTTGTCCCTGGTCGAGACGTACGGCTCGATGGGCTCGTAGGCCAGCTTGTAGTCCGGCTTGATGGCCGCCCGATTGATCGGATCAAGGATCGACCGCTGGCGCCGCTCGAGATCAGGTCGCCGCACTCCGAAGGCGGTCACCGGATCCGAGATGAGCGACGGCCGCGGCACGAACGGAACTTTCTCCCAGTCAATTGGTGTTCTCTTCGTTCTCTGCAATGCCCAAAAGTCCACAAGTATGTTTTTAATTTCTGGGTCAGCCGGGGATTAAGCTGTGGCGATGGCTCAGTGGTTAGGTGGTGCAGCTGGGAACTGCTGGCGGTGCTGGGGACTCAACTGGGCGGTGGGTCTATCATATATATACACGGTTTTTGGGCGGGGCATTTATATACAGCTTCGTTGGGGCAGTGGTTGGGGTCGAGTCAAGCTATATCCAATATTCGAACATCCTTACATTATGACACAAGCTGCATATCTACACGTGTATCTGAAGACTAGAGTGGACCTCTATCGTTGGTTTATGTAGAGGTATTCTTGATATTTAACAACTAAGCCCACTTTATGGGTTTTCTTTTAACTTAAGGCAGTTGCAGTACTTCAATTTCGAAATGTAATTCTCCAAAAGGTCCACCCTAGTCTAAATACACATAGGTATATATGCATATTGATACGACGTAGTGTGGTTGTAAGTAATGTGCAATGGGAGCATTATGGTATCACTCGCAGCATTAAGATGGAACGCAATCAGCAAACATTTATTTATGTACAGCAATAAAGTCAAGTTAATATTCAATCAAGCCATTTGTTCTGCAACCTATCCCTAAATACCAAGCATCACATCTGCATAATATAGGTAGGTATATTTAAAAGATACACATCAATGACATCAGACATGGTATTTCTTTTTCATTCATCAAATCATTAATATTATACGACATTAAGTGCAGATTCTGATAGTTGTCAACATGTATATACAAGTAAAACAGAAAGTGTCCAGACAAGATGGATCTCTGGGGGTTATGATTTACATATATATCCTTGCTTGGATTATCATCACATTAAACTGTCTGAAAAATGGGTCTTTAGTGATTTTTTTAGCATTTCTCTTCTAATTTTCGAAAATTTTGCCGTTATTTTATTGTTGGTTCTTCCCATGGCTTTGGTTTATTTGAATATATTATGGAAATCGGAAAGATATTTTTAGGACTAGCGAAGAGCGAAATGCGCGCGCATATAGTATTACACATACAAAAAGCAAAACCACGGCCCGTACAAAAACAAATTATCGAGAGAGTTGCCTCCGTGTGGTTTCATCGAGAATTCGCATGTGTTTGGAATTCCACTCGCCTATATGCTAAACATTTTTGGGCACCAGACGGACCCGGACCTCAGCTTTTGTAAATAATAATAAAATAGATAGAGAAGAAAATGTTCGGCCTCCGCCGAATTCTTAAAATGTATTCGCGTGTTATATTTGGGAGATGAGTAAACACGTATATCCGAAAGAGATATGAAGATCATAGCGCAGCAATAAATTTAGGAAAAATTCAATTCCCACGATCTCACGAAAAATTGCAATGTTTTCACACTCGCATAATTTTGTCAAAATAATTTTGTCACATTTTTATGATATTCGGTCTGGTTTTATATTTGTTAGACTGGGAACGCACATAAATCACATATAGTATAGTACAAGTACATACAACCATTATGAAAGTTATTAAAATGTTAGAAATCGGTTTATGTATGAATGCCCACACTGAACCTGAAAATACTGTTTCGCATATATACATTTTCAGAACATCCAGGTGATCATCAAATACTTTTGAGCACAAGGACATTCAGTTGTAAAAAACAATCTAGTTATATACTGTAAGTTCGATACGATATTCATATTTGGTAGACACTTTACATTCAAACGTGTTTCAATTTCTTAAATAATCTGTTCGCTTGTCAAAATGAAACCATTGAGTACAGCAAGTGGGACACAAGCGCCTAAAACTGAAATCTTGTGACTACAGATTCGATTAGCAATTAACTAACTGCTTTCAAATTTGTCAAATTTATCCGCAGCGTTTGCATTCACAGGTTTTCATATTTTGGAAATTTTGAATTTGGAATTTTGAGTTTGGAAACTGTACGCACAGATATATTTCACAGATTTAAATCAAGGAAAACCACACTACCGTATGTCAAGTAAATAATTTTTATGTCGAAGGGCTTACCGTAACGGCGTAAGAAGTCGTCACCGGCCTCGAGGAGTAGGTTCTGCGAGTCGTAAATCCACTTTCGTAAACCATTTTGCGATTTTTAGATGCAGTTGCTTTTGAGATATTTCAAATTGAATTGTTCGTTGGATTTGGTTCGGATATATCGTCGTTGCGTGTTGTTCACTAGACGCCCGTTCGAGTTGATCTGCCCGAGAATGGCACGGAGCACTTGCTTATAATTTTTTGATTTTCAAAATTTTCACAGCCTTCGATCCCTCGCTCTCTGTCTCTCTCTCTCACGCTCAGTCCATACCTCTTTTTCTATCCATCTCCCAAATAAACTTATTTTTGGAATTAAGAAACATTGACATCTCTCGTCGCAAAAGAGCGAGCGAATTCTGTTTACATAAAGCCAGCACTTTTCCTACAGTTGTGTTCGGAAAAGCCTATGTACAAACCAATACCGCCTTGTGCCCACAGGATATAGGAGCCCTTTTCGAAAACAAACGTCACGAATGTTTTCCAGAAACTATGTATTTTTAGATCCAACACTCATAGAATATTTGTTTTCTTGATGAAGTGTTATGATATTGATATTAATATGATGTAGTGGCCCTTTTAGCAAAGGTGATAAATGGGTCGATATGTACGCCAATGTGTTCAGAATTATTTATTTTTAAATTCAGTACAAGATTTTCGAATATAACGAGCAATTATTGAAAATTGAAAATATTTGATTTTGAAATTTATTTATAAGCATTGGCGGAATGCAATATTTGTTTAATGTAAACATTAATGGCGATAAACTTTATGTACATCGTAATATCCAAAATGACTTGCAAGGTTTTATGATAGTTTTCGCATCATTCAAAACATCATCGTACTATTCGTCATGTTAAATTCGGTCAAAAGATTGATTGACAAACAAACATAGAACATGCAGCCAAGACGTCCAATTATGAGTGGGTATTTGAAGAATAAATCAAATAAGGCATGAAATTGAAATCCTGAGAGCAATTTATGGTCGGTGGGTATCACCTGTGGACCGGACACAGAGCTTTCCACACATATATCTGGAAATAAATTATTAAAAAACACAAATAAGATAAAAATAAATTTTGTTTTCCAACAATTTGAGGCCAGATTACTCATACATTCTTACAATAGAAGATCGGAAACATGTATTCGTGAACATATAAATAAACTGCACATCATCGTATACCCACATATTAAATCGGCTGTGTAGGTGTCTAGTTGTATATAAACAAAACCATGGCAGAAATTCAAAAAAGCAAATTCTTTATGACATTAACCTTAACGAGAGGCAATGAATGACTCGTAATTTCAAGGCTGCCAAAGTCACACTAATCGGAGAACAAATATGTCATTGAGCGTTGACTTGGAATTTCGCATCTTCTTTATAGCAATTAAGAGTAAATGGACATTGACGAGTTAACAACAAATAAATCTGTATTCGATAGAAAACAATTCTTCAATGTGCGTCTTACAAGGACTATCAAAGATTATTTTGTTTGAATAAAATGATAAGATAAGGCAATATCTTTAACATATTTAAAAGATTAATTTGTTTCTGTTCTAGCTTTAAATGCTCAAACTTATATCTTTACTTGTAATTAATTTCTCATCCTAAATTACGTTAAAGAATATTGAAAACTTTGATAACACTACAAATAACTTACACGTGTTCAACTTGAAAAAGTTTGGTGAACTCAAAAATATATAAGATGTGATTATTTATTTTTTTGGAGGTCAACGATGGTGAGCCTGGTCACTAAACTATAGAAACATATAACTTTTCAAATTATATTTATTGCAAGCATAGGGTTTTCAAATGGTTAGGATCATTTATAGTTGTTCAGATCCTTCGAACTAGCACATCATTACAGCAGTAAGTTTTCTTCGAGTTGCTTTGAGCCATTTATTAATATCAATGTAAAAGCCCATATATTTTAGGCCTTTTGAATACTTACGAAAAACGAGCGGCAAAAAGTCAGTGACTTAATACCAGAAATCTCTTGGTCGGGTGCCCCTCATAATGATGCAAACGCGCAGGTGCAAACACTTCCATGTGTCTCCGGTCCCAAGTCGCGATTTTGATCCATGGGAGTACATAGATATACGACTCTTGGTTTCAGATGCATGGCCGCTCAATTTATCCGCCCAGCAAGCGTGGTTGTTTGTTGGCGTCTTCGCCGTTTTCGTGGCTGCGATAATTTTGTTAAATAATTGAGTATGCAATGAAAATTGCGCATTACAGCGACATAAATACAATGGCTGGTCGTCTTTCCCTGCGAGGGTTTACTGTGCGTGTGTGGGGACATGGGCATAAGTGCCTATATGGTTACAAACACCTGTTCATTCGTTTTGCTAGAATGGGTTTCTTTCCTCACTTTTTCCAAAATACTCGCATAAACGGCATTCAAATCCGCACATTGCTTGACATTTTGTAATTTGAACAAATTGCTCGAATTTTTGGCTAGCTCTTATAAATAGTGGAGTTGGTACCACTCGAAATATTAGTTTGGAGCAGAGCGAACGACACGTTGGATCCGCGACATAAAATTCAGAGGACTACTACTATAATATAACACCAGAAAAGGATATATAAAAGCACAATGAACATCAATTACTTTGTCATATTGCAATTTCTGGCAGTTATGGTGTTGCTAACCTATGCAAATGCCATACCAAAATATGAAGAGAGTCATAAGTAAGTGGATTTTGGCTAGCAAAATTAGAACTTATTTTGGTTCTGATTTTTAGGTTCTACGCGGACAAAGCACAACGGGATAGATCATACTACAACGAAAATAAAACACAGCCCAGTGAACCGCAGGCAGCTTCCACAAAGGATAGGCTGGAACGTCTGGGATATACCACTGGCTATGGATCTCTGAATGTATGTGATCGTGTTTAGAACCCCCATTTCAAAGGTAAACCACATAAAACTGATCTTTCTCTATAAACTACTTAGGGATATCCTGGCAGTACTGGACTTTCTGCCTATAATCCCATTAAACTCGACCTGGGAGGTGTTGTTTTGGGTACTCTCGTGGGTATTGGCGCCATTATACTGATCCCCAAAATTCTATCAGCCTTCCATGGGGGCTACGGGGGATACGGTCGAAGTGAGTACTTAAATGGATTTTAGTACAAGTAGTTTATTTTTGACTTTCTTTAAGGTGAGGATAGTGACCTGACACCTCTAAGCAGCATGATCAATAAAATCGACGATGTCCTGGGTCAGAATAATATTGACTCCACGAGTTGTATGCAGCGTGCTGTGTGTGGTTATGTTCGTTCTACAGAGTATAATATGAAGATTGGATCCTCTGACCAGATGGATGAATTCATTCACATGCTATCGGAGTAAGTAAAAACGTATATCTTTATATAAAAAAAATTACAGTTTAAATATAATGAAATATTTAATTTAATATTAAGACTTCTATTTATTTATTGATTATATTTTTAATTTTTTACAGAAATGCTTTGGTAGACTATCTGTTAGATGGAACGGCTATAAAAGAGGCGTTGGAGCAAGGAAAGCGTTCCAACGATAGGGCGTGTGAAGAGGTGTATTCCAATTGTCCGCTGGATAGTAAATCAGCTACGGATATTCTGATGAAGCTTATGCCGAAAAAGAGCTCCCAAGGAAAGGGAAAATCATCTGGGATTTCTCGAGAAAAGAAGGCTTAATTTATGTTGCCCTTTTTAAGATCAATAAGATTGTTTTCCATACACTTACAACCAAATATTTTCTCAACAATTAAATAAACTCCATTGTGTTATCTTTATTTAAATATTTTATTGTGCACTGTTTAACAAGCTTTTCTAAACCAATTTATAAAGCCTAAGGCCATAAAACATATGCATTTTTCTTTAATCCTATCTTCATAAATAATCACCGAATATTAATCTCTAACAATTTTCGTCATATAAAGACTGCTATTCAGAGGATTCTCTTTTAGCCTCACTACCGCTCAAAATAATTTGCAACTGCTTCTCCTGCTGTTCAATTAGCGGCAACCAGTGCTCCGAGGGGGCTGAGAAGTTAGTGGGCTCAAACTTGGGTAATTTACCCAGACTTCCCAGGACCGACTTTCGATGAGCTCGGTTCTCCAGCATAATGTTCTCTAGTTTATCAACCAGATTATTGGACTCCTTGATCAGGTCATCGATGGACTGCAGAAGGGCGTACCAATCTATTTTTTGGGTGCCAATCAGGGAATTGCCCCTCAATCGGAAGGGAAAGGGCACAAAGCTGCGCCAGGGCTTAAAGGACTCTATGGTGTAGGGTATAAAGTGTCGTTCCGATTCCATTTCCACTGCATCGTCGTCGAAATGCCAGGATGCCAAGGTAGGAGCCAAGTTCGTATTATTCCCACTTGGCCTCGACTGCTGAGATCCATCGAAGTTAAGCCTCCGTATCTTGGCAATCTGATCGCCCAGCCTCTTTTCCACATCGGAGATAATGTCACTGCCATCCTCATCGGTTTTGGGGAGATACGAGTTGACCAGATCCTTGTTATAGGCCTTGGGCAGTAGCGTTTGAGTTTGGCGCGAAACGGTAGGCACACTATCGGTCATTTGGGACATGGAATAGGTGAGCACATCTGCAAATATCTGGTTAATATTTCATAAAAGTAAGTAACGAGTACTAGGCTTACACTTCTCATAGCCATCCTTCTTTTTGGAGTACTGTCCATCGGTAAGAATTCCTATGTCCTTGTACAAAATCAGATCGTTCTGCACACCAAAGCTGGCCTCTTTCATGAGCTTCGTGGGCACAAAGTCCGTTTGCAAGGCCACATTTGCTTTGCCAGCTCTTAGACGTCTATAGGGGGAAATATTTATATCCTATTTAGTGTAAGAACTATATTTAATAACCTCGAGGCATCCAGTAACTTGGCCCGCAGCAAGGCGCTTTTGTCGGGCTTGGTGAGCGTGGAAACGCTAACTGCCCGCCAAGGAGGTCGCTTGGCCTCATTTTCCTTTTCCTTCTCCGCCGCCAGCTCTTTCATGCGTCTCCAACTGTTTTTGGCTCTATGATAAAGGATTACAAATGTTTAAAAAATATATAGAAATAATAACAACACTACCCACCTACTCAATGATGCACTACTACCGGCACGAATGTTCGATTGCGGAGCACTTTGCTGGTCATCCACACTTTGCGTCTCGCTGGTTTCCGATGATGTGCCACTGTTGTTGGAGCTGGTACCCTGCTTTGGCCTATTCATGGTAGCGATTTTTTTGCCTTTTTAAACTTTAAACGTGTGTGGGTGAAAAAACTTTGCACAACGTCTCTATTAGCAGTCAATACATCGATGCATAAACAATTTAGTGCATCCACGTTGCTATGGAGTCCACTGAAATGGTTGGGGTTGGGGATTCGGATATCGACCTATGGATGAAAGCGAATAACAAGGCGCCAAATAATTCAGAAATTCGCACCTTTCACATAGAAACAGTGCTGGCATTCTGGCTATATCGCTATAAGGGACATAATAATATTAAAGTAATAGTTCAGAAGTTATTAAGCCGTATACAGACATAACAAAAAACATATTTTATTATTCAGTAGCAATTATATTTAGGAGTTGTTGTAAAATGCATTGAATATGCGGAAGACATCGCTATTGTAGTTTTCCAAATGTGTTATTCCCGCTTCGTAGGAGCATTCGGAGAATAGATCGTAGTTCTGCCTTTGGAACCAATAGTTCTTCGTAGTGCTATTGGCGCCCAGATCGAGTGTGTTCAGCTGCAGCACTCCAAAGTGGAACGTCCGGCCGTCGGTCTGGACACTCTGCACGACAATTGGCTTGGGGAGAGCACCCTCCAAGGATTCCCCGTGTAATTGCCTGGCTCGAGCCGCAGCCACAACGAAAGCTTTGACCAATGTCCTTGCGTGGAGCTGAGAAGTTGTCACGTCGGATCCATGGGAATTTTTCACCAGGTGTTTGTTGAAGACCGTGAAGATGGTGTGTGGATGGGAGCAGCTAATGTCCGTGCGCAGGGCTAAAGGAATGACATCGTTAGACTTTCATGATATGTATATTACTGATTTACAAACTCACGGTAAAAGTTCTCTGTTTGGTAAATGTGGCGTTTTGGAATCGATATCGTGGTCTTCATAGGGTAAAGATCGGGCAGGTCTCCTTCAAATTTTCCCTTGATAGCTTCGATCGCGCGATTTGCGAAAACCACTTTTTCAGCATGGATGGAGAAACCAAGCAGATCACCATCTTTATTTAAAGAGGTCTTGAAGGTGGCGTTGTCTATAAACCTTTTACGTATGGAGACTGAACGGCCGGCTAATTTTTCGGTTTCATGCAGAAGTTTGTTAACCAGCAGGCGACTGAGGGAGATTACAGAGTTACTGGGGGTTCAATTGGGTATGTAGATGTGAACTTACTTGACCCTTTCGTGGGAAATTCCGTAGGAGCGTGGCAAGTTGAATCGCGGCCTCTCCGGCACCCTCACCTTGGGTAGCTTAACTTGCTCCGCATCGAGCACGTGGGATGCCAGAATGGCATGACGGATACTCTTGTCTATGGTCTTGGGCAACTGCTGGCTGGCGATGGCATCCTCGATTTGCTTGGGAAAGGTCGGGATCTCGATGCAGTTGGTCAGCACCTGGGCCTGTGGCAAACCGCCAATCAGCACGCTGTTGTCGGAGAAGGAGTGGCAAACGGTAGAGTGCCAGTCGGCGTGCTTGGTGTCCTCGAGAATCGTCTTCTCGCGGGTGCCAACGATGTCCACTCTGCAGGTTAAATGATATATGTATGTTACCTATTACAATCAGTAGGTAGTTCCCTGTAGATACTCACAGTTTCCTCTCAACTTTGGCGTTCAATAGATCCTCTGGATTCTTCACCTGAACACCCCGTTTCAGGAGCTCGGCGGCAGCGCCCGTTTCCTTGGGGACCCGCTTTCCCTGGACCAGCCAGTGCTTCTTGAAGTGCCATCCAAGATGCTGGGCACACAGGGTTTTCGTCAGCCTCATTTCAGTTAGGATTTGCCAATGTTTTCGTTCAATGAAGAGAAACCCGGCGGTCTGGTTATGAAATGTCTATTAGGGACGGGAGATGTTTAGTCACAGCTACTATTGTCGTTACTTGTTGCGGTCGTAATTCCGTGACTTGAGTAAATAAATAAATTATAATATTTTTATTTGGAATTATTTTACTTTTTATAGATCTTAAATATGAAGAGCGAATTAAAATAAAATAAAACCAACCGAAAAATTTAATAATAATATATAATAGCCAAATCTCAGACATTTTAAATAAATATAGCGTGCCGTGTGAACTAGCGATAACTATCGTTTGGCCGACCCACCACTATTTTGCGAGTCTGGTCACACTCTGGGCAATAAATAAAGAAAAGGCGGAAGGTTCTGCTAAGAAAATTAACAAAATTAGGTTAAATTCTAGACGGTAAGTGTTAAATGGAGTTCCCCAAGCAACACCCCGTGCACGGCGCATCTTAATGACCACGATTTTCGTGTTTCAGCCGCTCACTTTCTCCCGCAAGACTTACGACACCGCGCCACACCACACCACACGACAAAATGCCGCGATACAGGGAGTGGGACCTGGCCTGCAAGGTGTATGTGGGCAACCTGGGCTCCTCGGCCTCCAAGCATGAAATCGAGGGGGCCTTCGCCAAATACGGACCGTTGCGGAATGTGTGGGTGGCCCGCAATCCGCCCGGTTTCGCCTTCGTGGAGTTCGAGGATCGCCGGGACGCGGAGGACGCGACGCGTGCCCTGGACGGAACGCGCTGCTGCGGCACCAGAATCCGCGTGGAGATGTCATCGGGTCGCTCCCGGGATCGCCGGCGCGGAGAGGGCGGTAGCACTAGTGGACGCTCTGGTTCCGGGCGCTACAGGTAATTGCATGACCATAAACTGTACTTCCCGTGGTACCTTGACTCAATATGTCTTTCGTTCGGATGTCACGGATCTCTTGACTACCTAAAAGTGGGATAGTTCCCTTGGTACTCTAAGCGTACAATGGCGATCTTGTCTCGAAGCGCCAGAACTAATCAAATTCTTATCAAAAAGTATACAATTTGTTATAGACTCAAAATTTCATTGGTATCATCGCAAAAACATTGATTGCTAATTGCAAACATTTACATTTTCCCGCCCTTTTTACTGCACGTGATAAAATAGCGTGCGAAAAGGCCTTCATTAAATAGAGGTCTCTTCGCAAGCTGTCTTATTCAGGTTCAATTGACCCTTGACCCTTGCCAATTGAACATTGATAGTACGCTACTCGGACCAAAACTACAAACTGTATACATATGTACATATATTATCTACGATCAAAAGCCTTTAGTGGTTGTTAAATGCGAGTTATCGACACTTTTTCAGGATAACTCCTTCGGCTAGAACTACTTCCACTGCTACTCTTCTTCCTTCTACAACATCAACAATCTACAACAGCAACCATCTTCACAGCCCACAGCCAGCAACCTTCAACTTGCAACTCTAAATTATCCATGTTCAGCGTCACAGCCTCACAGAAGTTTTGATTAGCAACCCAAATGATTTCATCTTCGAAGAAGCAATGCAGTCGCCAAAAGAGTTCTACTAACGAAGTTATCCTGCGTATCCTTCAAATAATTGCTTACAATTATTTTCTTTAATTTAGTTGCCAAAGATTAGGAGTATATTTTACGGTTTAATGATTTACATTTAGTTTTATATGGCCATATTTCTCTAAATACCCACTCTAGTAATGAGAAACCTGGCCTAGATCTTGTGTAACGCAATCAAGTATTATAGATTTGTCCGTCCATTTTGTCATCGCGATCCGGTTCTTCCAACAATGTAGAAAGCTTTAAAACGTAGGTTACCAGAGTTATTATAAAACATCACAGCAGCTATAGTAGTGGGGTTCCAGCTTACTAATTGATTCATTTGAGCTAAACAATTTGCACAGCTTTCATTTGTGTTTATATTGTGAGTCTGATACACTCCGGCCAGCATTTATTTTTAGAGCCACACTTTTTCAGCACTTTGTAAGGCGCGTATGTACATACACTTCTTACTACTCTAAGCAGCTAGTTGTATTGACTTGTTTAAATTGGGAAGTAATCATATCTTCTTTACCAACGCGTTTATTTCAGGTCCCGCTCGCCACGTCGCTCCCGATCGCCCCGCAGCCGCAGCTTCTCGCGCGATCGTCGAAGTCGCTCGGACTCTCGCGATCGGCATTAAAATATTTCCCAAAAAGGATAACATTTAAGCAGTGTCGCAATCAAACAAGAAGCGTGGCCAAGGCCGACTTTTTGGTAGGGTTTCCTAAGTTGATTGCGATGTAAGTACATTTTCTTCAGATGACAATATAAATCTTTCGATGCATTCTTAAAATTCCTTTTTTTTACTAAGAAATAAAGACGCACAATCAGCGAGTTTTGATTGGTTTCATATATCATCAAAATGCATTTGTTTCCAGCAAAAGGGGACGTGCCAAATGCACTGTTTATTATGTGAGAATTGACGTGCTACTGTACAACTTTTCTTAGAAGTATGTTCGGATAATAATTTAAACAGGCGCACGAGTGTAAAAATATTATGTATACTAACAAAGGTACACTTTAAACTTAGGAGAAGACGCAACACAAGTTCGTTGCACATGTCGCACTGGAATAAACCCTTACGTCTAGTCACTGTTTATATCCTCGCCGCTGAGCTCTGAGCCCCGGTACACACTGGCAGTTCGGATTTTGTTTATGGCGGACCCTAGCGCATGCGGTATGTGTTCGACTCCTGGATCTGCGACAATTCGCCCTTGAAGTTAATGTCGATGACAAAGTCCAGGTCGCGGTTGTTCCGCTCGTTGGGCTTCATCTGGAACGTGCCGGTGATCTCCTCGTTCTTCTTGGCTGTCATATGGTCGTCCAGGTAGAAGACCGTCTGCTTCCAGTGCGTGTACGTGGAGTCGGGCGACGTGCTGAACCCAAGACGCTTGTGGCACTTGGTGAACTCTATGTTGAAGTAGGTGACTAACGCCTGCACAAAGTCGTTGCGCTTGATGCACAGGCTGAACTTGGACGAGAAGTTGAGATCTGCCTTCTGCACGGTGTACAGGTCGACCTCCTTGACCATGCAGGATGTGGACACCACCTGCTTGGGATCGACCACGTCGACGAGCGGCTCGGTGACGGCCACCTTGCGAATGCAGCTCATGTCGAAGCCGTACACATCGTCCCACCAGTTGATCTTCTCGTCCTTGTACTGTCGGTCCTCGATGGCCGTGATGTACAGCGTGCCTCGGTCAGGAAACATCATGCCGTCCTTCTTCAGCCACTTGTCCCGCGCGTACAGCACTGTGTCCAGCATGGACTCGTAGAAGAGGCAGTAGCTACATTAAGAAAAGTAATAGTTATAGGTTGGTATACAGGAAGCTCATCTTCAAGGGATATTTAAACATCACTGTATAGTCAAATAGGATTGTCACCCCTTTCTTATGACGTTTCTCAACGAATGACACCTCGAGAAACTCGAAACCTACCCCATCCACTCGGAAATGATGATGTCCACGCCCTCAATACCATTTGGAAGCTCTATCTCCTCAATCTTGCCCTTGACCACCTTGATCACATCTTGCAGATTGTTGTCAATAACCACTTGGCGGGCAAACTCGATGATGTTGGAGCAGTCGACGGCTATCACCTGGGCGGCGCCGGCTTTCGCGGCGAACATGGACAGGATGCCGGTACCGCAACCCACGTCCAGAACGGTCTGCAAAGAGGGGAGCTTAGTATCTCCTCGCCTAGGGCTATTGCGAATCGAGGGAAACCCCGGAAGTGGACCCTACCTTGCCCTGGAACAGATGCTTGTTGTGGTACATGGCGTTGCGGTATGTGACGGTGCGCACCTCGTCCTTGAGCATCTCCTCGTGGATCCCAAAGTGGGCATAGGAGTCAAAGTAATAGTCGCGGGACGTCATCTCGTCGGCATTGGCATTGGGATTGTCCCCGGTGCTCCCCTCCGCGGGCAGCTTCTTCGCCACATTGTTTGAGTTCGCATTTGAATTGGGCGTGATGCCGGTCGCCGATTCCACAGCTGCCTCCATCGGGATGTCTGTGCTGGCCTGCGAAAACGATCCGTCAGCAATTGGGCCTTCGATTGGCAGCAAAATCCGCTCAAAACTCACCATTTTCTAGTTTTTCGGCGTCTCTTTGGTTTTTCACGTCGAAAAAATAGCGACTAAATGATGGGACTATTTCTACAGCACGCTAGTTTAAAAAGTCGCTTTGCAACACTGCCGCCGATTAAGGCCGGTGCGAAAAACCATGTGCTATCGATACAATCGATGTTTCCGCGGACTTGACAGCGTGCGAAATTTTAAATTTGGTATTTTTTGGGCTGGATCTTATGGGCAAACAGTGACAGTCACTGGGAACTGGATTTTTATTTCCACAGGGCTGAAAGCATTTCTTAAAATGTCAGCTGATTTAGTTTTGTACTTCTCTGTATGCTATGACATGCCAAAAATTGTACAAATTACCCATTTGATTTACAAATATTTCTTCTACAACAAATATTTATTTTGAACTTTTTGAATAAACTTTCCCTCAACAATATACAAACATAGATTTAATTTAGTACTAAAAAATCGTGTGTAATTCTTTATAGAAACATTTGAATCTCAAACAATTTTTCAGCTAATTTTTCGGTGGTTGTCACCCGTGACTAGTTTTGAGAATTAATGGTCTTTTAAATCTTTTTAAAGTTTTGAGGAAAAGCTACCACCCTCATAGAGATGATACAGAACTATAGTATGAAATATAAATAAATATTTACATTTTTAGCATATTTTAAAAACATTAATAATGTAATTATTTCTGAAACTGCCAATTGCCCTAGTAAGACAGTTGCAAAGAAACTATCGATAGTTCCGGGGTCTATATCTCATCTCTAGCTATCGCTTGGCCCGGAATTTTGGCGGCAAAATATTGGCACATCGCATTGTCAAACAGAAGGAAAAAACAAGCAGGGAAGAAAGTAGTACTTATTTACCTTAGTCTCGCGTCTTAACTGTGTTTACCAATTAAAATGGAAGGATTTGATGATGCGGGAGTGTTCTTCTCGGACAATTTCGGCGGGGAAAACCAGCAGGATGCGCAAATCAACTTGCAGGCGGTAAAGAAGAAGTACAAGGAGTTCATCCGTACTTTCAACGAGGAGAACTTTTTCTACAAATACCGGTGAGTAAACGGCAATCCCTCATCCGAACCCCCTTAAAAGTATTCTTCCTGCAGCGACACCCTGAAGAGGAACTACCTGAATGCCCGCTACTTCCTGGAGATCGAGATGGAGGACCTGGTGGGCTTCGATGAGACTCTGGCGGACAAGCTGAACAAACAGCCCACAGAGCACTTGCAGATCTTCGAGGAGGCCGCCCGGGAGGTGGCTGACGAGATCACGGCTCCCCGGCCGGAGCACGAGGAGAATATGCACGACATCCAGATCCTGCTTAGTTCCAATGCAAATCCTACCAACATCCGTCAGCTGAAGTCCGACTGTGTGTCCAAACTGGTCAAGATTGCCGGCATTATTGTCGCAGCCTCGGGTATTAGCGCTAAGGCCACGCGGATGTCTATTATGTGCCAGTCCTGCAGCACGGTTATTTCGAATCTCAAAGTAAATCCTGGTCTGGAGGGCTATGCCCTCCCCAGGAAGTGCAACACGGAACAGGCGGGCAGACCCAAGTGCCCTCTAGATCCGTTCTTTATCATGCCGGACAAGTGCAAGTGTGTTGATTTCCAGACCCTAAAACTCCAGGAACTGCCCGACTTTGTGCCCCAGGGAGAGATTCCCCGTCACTTGCAGCTCTTCTGCGATCGCTCACTGTGCGAACGTGTGGTGCCCGGCAACCGAGTGCTAATCCAGGGCATTTACTCCATTCGCAAGGTGGGAAAGCCCTCTCGCCAGGATGGTCGCGAGAAGGCAGTCGTTGGAGTGCGTGCTCCGTACATGAGGGTGGTTGGCATTACCGTGGACGCCGAGGGTGCTGGTGCCATCTCCCGGTACAGCAATATCACCACCGACGAGGAGGAGAACTTCCGGCGCATGGCTGCCTCCAGCGACATCTACGATCGCCTATCACAGTCTTTGGCGCCAAGCATATTTGGTTCGCGGGACATCAAGAAGGCCATTACCTGCATGCTCTTTGGTGGATCCCGAAAGCGTTTGCCAGATGGCTTGTGTCGTCGTGGCGATATTAATGTCCTGCTGCTGGGCGATCCTGGTACAGCCAAGTCGCAGCTTCTAAAGTTCGTGGAGAAGGTGGCGCCCATCGCAGTCTATACTTCCGGCAAGGGCTCTAGTGCCGCTGGTCTCACGGCTTCGGTTATGAAGGATCCTCAGACGGTAAGAAAACTATTATTTAACATGGTCTTGTTTACCAATTTATAATGTATCCCCTTAGCGCAACTTTGTCATGGAGGGCGGCGCCATGGTCCTGGCCGATGGCGGCGTGGTCTGTATCGATGAGTTCGACAAGATGCGAGAGGATGATCGTGTGGCTATTCACGAGGCCATGGAGCAGCAAACCATTTCCATTGCCAAGGCCGGCATCACGACCACTCTGAATTCACGCTGTTCGGTTTTGGCGGCTGCCAACTCCATTTTCGGCCGATGGGACGACACGAAGGGCGAGGAGAACATCGACTTTATGCCCACAATCCTTTCCCGTTTCGATATGATTTTCATCGTGAAGGACATTCATGATGAGACGCGAGATATCACGCTGGCCAAGCACATCATCAATGTGCATCTCAGCTCAAACAAGTCGGCACCTTCGGAGCCCGCTGAGGGTGAGATATCGCTGTCCACGTTCAAAAAGTACATCCACTACTGTCGCACCCACTGCGGTCCACGTCTGAGCGAGGCTGCTGGAGAGAAGCTGAAGAGTCGCTACGTCCTTATGCGCAGTGGAGCCGGTCAACAGGAAAAGGCCGCAGACAAGCGACTGAGCATTCCGATTACCGTGCGCCAGCTGGAGGCCGTCATTCGCATATCGGAATCGCTGGCAAAGATTCGCTTGCAGCCATTCGTCGCCGATGACCATGTAAACGAGGCCCTTCGTCTTTTCCAAGTATCGACGCTCGATGCTGCTATGACTGGCAGCTTGGCCGGTGCCGAGGGATTCACAACGGAGGAGGACCAGGAGACGCTAAACCGCATTGAGAAGCAATTGAAGCGCCGCTTTGCCATTGGATCTCAAGTCTCGGAGCAGAATATTTTGCAGGTAAATATTCGAGTTCTTTATTATAAAGGCGCCTTATATTGATTTTGTCTATGCCTTTTCAGGACTTTTTACGTCAAAAGTATGAGGAACGCACTGTAATGAAAGTTATTCATACTATGATTCGCCGCGGAGAACTTCAGCACAGGATGCAACGCAAGATGCTATATCGCATTTGCTAAACTCTGTTATTCACATCATTATTAATCCATCGTTGAATGTTTCATCAAACGTACGTCATTTTTATTGTATTTCCATTTATATTTTTAAGAAAACAATACATTCTTTTCACACATGAGACAAATAAAAAATCTACAATTTCAGAAAATTCCCAAATGAATCTGGCAGGTCCTATGCAAGTTCCTCATCATATTTAAGTTCTACACTATAACGCTTGTACCATTACAACGTGTTGGTGCTATAGTGTAAATTAAGAAAAAAGAGAATCAAGAAATTTGTATATTTTTTTTAATATATAAAAGCAGGAAACCCTAGGTATTTCGAGTGCACAATTGAGTCGAGCCGGCAGACTATTTGTTACATAAATATCCATGATTGTTTACATTTAAAAAATGGGATTGTAAGCAAGATTTCAATTTTGTTTGTTGATGATGCTTGAACAGAAACACATAGACCCTTTGGTCGGCCTCCAAATTTCCGCGCAAACCGACAATTTCGCTCTACTTTCTGCTGTGTTTGCCTACGTCATTCGGACAAATCACAAAAACCAATCATATTACCTTGGCCGTTTGCCAATTTTTTAAAAATATTTTTCCCTCTGTTTGAGAACGTTTATTACTTCCTTTTATACAAAACCCAATTAGTATATTTGCGCATGCACATCCATGTACTTACATACATACATTTAAATATTCTGAAGCTGAAATGTACTCAATATGTGCACGAATTTTCAAAAATACGTAAGCGTGTTACGTACGCTCCTGGCCATTTAAATACAATGGCGAATATAAGCATTTCAAATTTATTAATTTCCGGAAAGAAATCTTTACAATCTTGTTTACCACAAAATATATACATATCTGCGGATGACTGTATTAATTTAAGAGACGTAACAATAATATTTATTTCCTATAAATTGTTGTCCAATGACGCCACTTTAAGGTCCAAATGACGTCAAGTCGCTTTAAAATTTATAGACCGAAAATGCGAAACATGTTGCTCTAGACGTTTCCGAAAAATTCCAGAATTTCATAGACTCAACATCGATGAAAAACAAGCAGCTATATAAATAAATATAATTTATTTCGTGACGAGAATTTCCATTCAATTCTAAATCCGATTTAAACACAAATGTGTATACTAGGCGCTCAATTCAATAACATTGTGGTACTTTGAACTTTGCTTCGACCCAGGGTCAAGATAATTCAAACATCAAACAATAAGAGTTTAATTGAAATTCATATTCCGATATTGATGCACATGTGTGTTCACATTTTTCAATTACCTCTGCCTGTGTCTGCTCATCGTGGCCATTAACAAAGCGATGCACCCGATGTTCTTTTCATCGCTCATGACTACATGGCTACGGATCTGGATCTGTGTGTATCTATAGGTTCGCCTTTCACCTAAACCAATTGACTCTATTTTATTTCGCCACCCGCTCCGTAGGTCCAACTAACGTAAACAATCGTTTGATATATTCCAAAATTGAGATTCCTGCGTGATGATTTCCATTCCAGCACGACCTGAGCACGATTCGAATATAATAGAATATTTAAAGGATAAGTCAGCTAGTTGTTACGCAACCGATCATCATTATTATTTGTCTGTTAATTGGGTTGCACACAATTGAGAGCGGTGAGGAAATTAGATAATTGTTTCCAACGCGCGTGTATATTATTTTTTTTGAAACAAAAATTCTTTAACGTCATCAGCATCCGTGGATTCCTTCCCATTCTCGCGGGAGAGAAATGGATGGGCTTCAGTCCGCCAGAAGTGTAGATACAAAAGGCCCATGAAAGATACAAGGAGGCGGGATGTGGGATGTGGGATGTGGGAGGTGGGAGAGCGAAATCGCTGAGTGGGGCCTTTGTTTTGTGAATGAAAATGAAATGAAAATTCTCGCCGTACATATGCCAAGCCCGCGTCTGCAGTACGTCAGTACAATTTTAGATCTCGAGCGAGCGAGTTCGGCCGGAACACACTGACCGATACAACCGATGAAAGCCGTATTTGTTGGGAAGTAACGCGGACTCCGATTGCCCAAGGAAAACCCATTTTTTGTCGCAGTGCAGCAGAGGATCATGTACATTTACCCGAGCTCCCCGGAATCAGCATCGTCCTTGCAGTCCGAAGAGAGTGCGGCCATCAAGATCCAGGCCGGATTCCGTGGCTATCGCGTGCGCAAAGAAATCCACCGATCCAGCAAGTCAGCGAATCCTCGCCAATCGAATCCTCATACCAGGAGAAGCCAACGCCAGCGTCCCAAGAACAACGCACTCATGGAAAACCAGGCCAATACGGGTAAACCCCACCCCACTGCCGACGATCCGCAGGCCGAAAATGGTGGCAAATCCGTGGAGGATCGCTGTGCCACCAAGATTCAGGCAGGATTCCGGGGATTCCTGGTGCGGAAGAAGCAGAAAATCGCCACCGATGCCGCTGTGAAAATTCAGGCTGGCTTTCGGGGATTCAAAACACGCAAGGAGCTGAAACAATGCGAACCCATTGTGTAATGCTCTTATGCGTTGTTCCACAATTCTGATTTCTACTGTACATACAAATATGTGTATTCAAAACCTACCATTTAGTTCAATACGTGTCGTGTAAATAGTTTAATATTAACTTATAGCTTCCAGAAGAATAAAATACTCTTACTCAAGAAACCGCAATCTTGAAAGACAACATTATCCATTAACGATATGAATTTGTTTGTGTTTTCCGTAGGCCTATTTTTGGTAAACAGTGCTGTATGTATACGCTGCTAGTACAGTGAATAAACATTTCATTTATCGAACATACACAACTTGTACACATAGTATGGAAGTTTTCCAATTTGGAAAAAATTTAATGTTTTTTTTTAGAGCACTGATCTAGTCTTTTGAAATAAAACTTGTTTAATAGCTGGCTAGCGACAGTACTCATTAAATTCCGTACAACGACCCAAGGTGTACACCCATCTCATAAATCTGTCAAATCCGTTTAATGTTCAGAACAAAAGTGGCAGCCATCCGCTCATCCACAGTCCGTTTAAATTATATACGTTTAAATTGGGGAAAAACAAATGTTATGATTTACTCCCGGAAGCCTTTCCGCTTGTTTGATAATAAAAACATTTTCGATTAAATACTCGTATATATTTTATTTAGATATAGTTCAGCGATGATACTTATAGACTTGAGAATTTTATTTTCTTTTGTTCGCCTCGGCGCTTTTTATACGTTTACGCATATGCTTGGGTATGACTCGGAAAACTTCGCAATCAATTTGTACGGGCATTGAATTCTGCCTCATCTTCAGCCACCTTAATTCCATGTCGGCCTTTGTCCTTGTCTCACCTAGAAATAAATTAATCTTTGACTTCTAATAATAAGTTAGAGGTTTGATTAAATAAAACAATATGAATCATTTGGGTAAAAAATAAAACATCTTTATAGATTCAGAACGAAAATTGATTATTACTTTTATAACTTTAAAAGGATATTAAATATACATCTGAGAAAAAATATATCTATGCATACTTTTAGATCTTTCTAGGTCCAGCAGTGAAAAATCAGCATTTTTATCGCATAAATTGGAGTCTAAAATAACATCGACTTACCAACTGTTTTGCTTCTCCCTGATTTTGAGCTTTTTTGAGTCTGACCCCCACTGCTGTTCACACTATTTTCATCATCGGGGGTAGAATCATTTCGAAGGGCATCCCCGCGCTGCAATTTCTGACGCCTGGCAGCCAGATTGCTCTCCAGGCTGATGCCTTCCATCTTCCGGTCACCCTTGCGTTTTCGGGTGTGCATCCGATAGGCGGTCTGGATCTTCTTGGCCGCTTCCTCCTCGATGAAACGTTCCAGGGACTCGCTAATTGCATCGTTGCCGAAGGACGCCTTGGTGTCCAGAGTGGACGACTTTGTTCCGGCACTTGCCCGTCGCAATCTACGCCTGGTAAGGAATCCCCTTGCTCCCGCTTGGATCTTTGTGGCGGCCGAAACAATGGTGGACTCCGTTTCAGTGGACGTGCCCATGGCATCTGCCATGGCCGTATCTATGTCAAAATCCTCTTTGCTACCCTTCTTCGGATCAAAGTAATCCGAGTCCGTTTCAGAAAGCGAGTAGGCCATCATTTTCTTGCGAATGTTCTCCGAGGTTTCATCGTCCAAACAGAAACTATTCGTGCTGTTAATACCCATACCATTTTCTCCAATCTCAACATAATTTAGAGCCTCATCAATGGTCACAGATCTGAACAGACCACGCGGATCATCACCTGCGATAGTGTAGTGCCTCATTAAATGCACCCTTCCGGATTCTTCTTCATTGAGTAAATCCCTTTCCTGGATATTTGCGGATTCTGCCTCACCGAAGACCACAGAATCACTCTGAGCAGAGCTTTCCCTGGTTTCGTCCCTCTGCAATCGATTGTATACGATGATATCTCCATCCTCGATGTCCATGCTGGCTTGTTCCTGCAGGGAACTCATGCGCCGCACAACGGGCTCATCAATACTGGGATCTGCCGAGGCAAGTCTCTCGTGGGACTTGGAGTCTCGGAGTAGAGACATTTTTTCAATTACTTCCTCTGGCTTGGACAACTTAACGGTGGCCTTGTCTATTGTATCAGCGGTTAGCGTATCTAAACCAGTGGTTTCAGACATTGAAGAATCCGTATTTTCTGCTTTTTGACTAGCAACATCTGGTTCTGATTCGCCTTCGGAAAGATTAACCAGTGAAGCGGACTTCTTTATACAGGGTTCCTCTACAACTTCTTGAAGAAGGTTAACACTTGGAAATGGTCCTTGCTTGGACGTGTACTCAATCTCATTCTCCAGAAAACTATTAACCAGTTCTTGAGTTGAAGCAACATCTAGAGCTGAAAAATATTAAACCATAATGTTGAAAGGAATTAAAGGAAATTCCTTATAACGAACTTACACTGTACGATACCACCAAAATCGGATTGTGATAGAAGAAGTGGATCCTCCACCGAATCAAGACCAGTTTCAGACGCCTTTGTTAAACCTGCTAAACCAGAAGAGACTGCATTATCCTTTTCAGATGTAACGCCTAGACTCTCATCGATTTCAGAACTGATAATACCAGTATTTAATTTGGATTCAAGCGAGCCATAGCCATGCGTTCTATCTACTGTTTCAACTGATTCTACTTGCGTGCTGGTGTCGAGCTCAGTTTTACTTGTGATTGCGGCTGGATCCGGATCGGTTTCTAACCCAACAGGTTCTTCAACGACTCCCTGGCTTGGTACTATGCGAGTTGACCCCACAAACCACTCGGACTTCGGTTGAATCTCCGAAGCATCTTCGCCTGGGTCTTCGCTGGCTTCTTGGGGCAAACTTTCTGATGGTGTGGTTCCTGCAGTTGGATAGTTGGAGGTTTCTATCGCTGTAATTCGTGAGCTGGTAATCGAGTCAAAGGAGCTCTCATCGAAATTTTCAAGCTTTCTTTTTTCCATATATTGCCTGAAAGCTCTCTGTATTATTAGAGCTGCATTGGACTTTCCATCAAAATCATCCTTTTTTGGATGAATGGGACTGGATTGATGCTCATCTTTTATTGATTCAATTATGATTTCTGGTTTATCTTGAATCAAAGTTTCAGGATCGTCAGGAGTCTCCATACTTTGGAGTTTTTCTGCCTCTACATTGTTTATATTTTCTTGATTATCAGCTGATCCTAAAGTACGAACTGGGCTTGTATCAGCTTTTTCAGGGCTCTTTTTTTCCTGCAACTCTTCAGATTTTGACAAATTAATTGGATTGGAACTGACATTCGAAAGTTTTTCTAATTCTATGATCTCATCCTTCTTTATTTCTTTTATTCGTTTTGGTTCTTCAGCTAAACTTGGCATATGAATTGGATTCGAAATGATTTCTTCTACCTTTTCCATATCTTGGAGATCTTCTGTTTGGACATCATTTGTAGTTTCTGTGCTATCAGTTGATTTTAATGTATTAATTGAGGAACTGGCTTGCAAAGGTTTCTTAATATCTTGTTGCTTTTTAGACTGAGATTCACTAATTAGTTCTGGTTCAATAGATAGTATTGAAGAATCATTTAGATTTTTGTTCGATTCCACTGGATGTTCAACTTCTTGAAGTTCTGGTTTATCGGATAATTTCAGATACCTTCTGTAAGCCCTCTGAATTTTCTTAGCAGCATTATTTTGCTCCAGTTCTGTATCATCTGAGTACAGCTTTTTGTTAAGTTCAACTAATTTTCTCTGAGAATATAGCCTAAATGCTTTTTGGATAACGAGTGCAGCAATTTCTTCTTTTTTAGTCCTTTCTTGAGACTCAAGATTTGCAGATTTCATTTCATTAGTTTTTACAGCATATCTTCTATAGGCTCTTTGAATTTTCATCGCAGCATTATTTTCATTAAATTTTTTAGAAGCACCTGAGGAAGCTAACGATGCTTTTTTCCTTAACGAGTCTCGAAGCCACTTTTGTATTACCTTAGCAGCCCTATTTTGCTTTTCCAAATCCGATTCATTGGTCTTTAATGAACCTCTACTCTTAAACCTTCGGTACGCTCTTTCTATGATCCGTACAGATCTTGTTATTCTTAAAATGTCAGTTTTATAGGCTTCTTCATAATGCTCAGTATTACTTTTTGGGCCTTTTGTTTTACCCGGATTATCTTCGACTGTATCAATAATTTCTTTTGGCTCTAAAGCTTGGCTTTGATTATTTAACTCAGTGGGCTGCTCACTTTCATTATCAAGTTCCAATATGGTTTGTAATTTGCTGCCACCGGTATGTTGGTACTCGGGATCGCCCTCCGATACTTCGATAACTTCTATTTCCTCTTCATTTGAATCATTATCAGATTCGGATGAGATAACTTCGGGATTCTTTACTTCTTTAACAGAGTCGGTTTTTGATTGATCTCTAAACCTTTTGGGCATTTTGTATTTGGGCTTTCTATCATCCGAATCGAATGAAACAAAAAATGAAACTGAGTTCTTAGCTTTCGGTGCAGCTGTTTCTATGATTTCTTTGGGGGTATAGTAACTTGGAGTTCTTTCCGAGACAATAGTTGGCTCATCTACAACTGAGGATGTTTGTTGGTCCGTATCAAGTTTCTTGGGTTCATTTGATATTGGAATATTTTCCAAATCCTTATCAGAAGTCGCCTTGGGCTCCACATAAATATCATACCAGGCGCCATCGTCGTTGGGATTTTTGAATGACTTAAGCTGCAACTCAGCAATGGGTGTGGGTACAAGACGCCCCGACGTTAAGGTGCCAATATCTTTATCTTTTACAACAGGGTTAGATAACTTCTTGGTGTTCTTTTCAATCTCAATATGGTTAGTAGGTAAATTTTGGGTGCCAATTAATTGATTAGATACAAGCAATGAAGAGTTTTTCTGCTAATTTAAAAATAAATTTAAAATGTTTTCGATTCTGATTTCTTACCAGTATTTACTTCAGGGTTTGAGGCAACAGGTGAGTCGTTTTTGGTTTTGATTCCGCAGCTGTTACAGGTAAAAATTAATAAACAGACAACACTTTTTGTTCAGAGCTTACTGTCTTTATCCTCGACTACAAGAGATTTGCTTTCCATTTCTGAAGAACTTTCTTGTTTTCCTAAAGGTAATGTTTCGGTTTCGCTAGGCTTGGATGGATAATCTGAAGAATCACATTTTCCCAGGACGGCTGACGGTCCTTCGTCTTTTATATCTTTCTTCACATCAAATTCTGGTTCTATGGATGTATTTAACATTTATCAAACCAAAAAAATTTTAAATGTAATGAAAATTTACTGTCTTTATCAGCTGCAAGAGTTGGTGGTACTGCAGGTTCGTTGCCAGAATTATCTTTAGCTTCTGTGCCCTCCGATTCTTGGGCATTTGTAGCTTCGGTTTCGATCTCAGGAGATAATTCCACTTGAATGGCAAAAGTTATTAAAAATCATTTCGCAGTAACTTGTAGATAAATGCTACTTACTAACTGCAATGGCGGTGTCTGCCATGGACATTTCATTACCATGACCCGTTGTTGGATGTTCAACAACATCATCTCCACTCTTGAGACCATCTTCAATTGCAATCGATGCATTTTTATCTGGTAAAGCTGGCAAAGCTTTTTCTATTTAACAAATATAATTAAATAATCCTATGGATTTTAATATATCAAGTATCCCTTACCCGTGCTTTCAGTTCTTTGATCAACAGAATTTTGGAGTTTGTCTCCCCCGGAGATTTCTTTACCTTTACCCTTTGTTAGAAATTCCAGATCCTCCTCCTCACTTTTAGGACTATCACCTATTGCACTCGGAGATCTGTGTTCTGGTGACGATGACAATACTTTTTCTAATGATTTAATATAATTAAATAAGTGTGTAAATCTTAATTTGTAAGTTATCTCTTACCCGTGCTTTCAGTCCTTTCATCAACAGAATTTGGTTTTTTGTCCTTATTATGTAATTCTTGGATGAAGAAATGATAAATTGAATCAAAGTAAATTAAGTTTTGCAAAAAACACTACCTTCTGAATCCTCAGAATGAATACTATTTGATTCGGTAAAATCCTGTATTATGTTACTATCTTCAGTTTGCACAGATTCCGACTTAGTTGGTATATCCTTCTCATCCGATGGTTCACTTTCAGTTTGGGAAGTTTCCGATCCCTTCGTGGACATTTTATTTATTTGAGCAGTTTCATCTTCTAAATTAGTATGTTCAACAGGCATAGGCTCTGAGATTATTTTTAAAGATTCACTTTCTGTATTACTATCTTCAACAGGCTTAGACTCTGAGTTGATTGTTAAAGGTTTATGATCGGATTGTTGGTCTTCAGCTTGTGAACCTTTTGATCCTTCAGTTAATAGTTTATCTAGTTGGACAGGTTCTTCCTCTAATTTATTATTTTCATCCTTCTTTGTTTCGGAGTTGATTGTTAAAGTTTCCTTACCGGAATGTTGGTCTTCAGTTGGTGAACTTTCTGCTTCTTCAGATACTATTTTACTTAAAACAGCAGGATCGTCCTCTATTTTATGAATTTCAACTTGCTGTGATTCAGAGTTGATTAGTAGAGTTTCTTGGTCCTGGTGTTCAGCTTGTGAACTTTTTGATCTCTCAGTTGGTACCTTACCTGGATTTAAAAAAAATTATTATTAAAAATTAAAGAATCTAAGCATGATTATTTACTATTAATGACAGGGTCTTCCATACTAGTTTTTATAATTTGTTGGAGCTCTCTAGCACTGGAACTTATATCTTCCATGATATCTTTTAGGTAATCAAGTCCTTCTAAATTAAGAAAATTGTATAGTCTTAAATTAATATGATTTCAAATTTATTTAAAAAACATACCAGAAGCAAAATGCTTTGGACTTTCAAGTTCGTGTTCCACGGATGTGTCCAGTGATTCTTCTGGTAAGGTGCCTGAAATTTTTAAATCGTAACATTACCTTTTAAATTGTGTTTCAATTGAATTACTTACTTGCTATTAATATACTCTCTCCCATACTGTCATTTATATCATTAACAGCGGGCTCATCTAAAATTTTTTTAAAGTTTTAACTAGCTTTAAAAAAGTTGGATTTGTTTGTATGCCTACCTGTACATTCTTTGATTATTGAAGAGCCTGTTATATTGTCCTTGTCCTTTAAATTAGTTCCTTCCGTAAAGACATCAAAATTATGGAAATCATCATTGGATTCTTCAGATTTATCTTTATTTATGTTGCCATCAGATGGAACTACTTCTTCAGTCTCCAAACTATTAGATCCAATTGGTATGGTTTCCTGTTGTGACAGTTTCTCTATATTTTGTGTTTCCTCTGATTCATCCTCAGTTGCGACTTTTTCTGATAAAGAAAGATACAAACTCAGTTTAATTAAATTCAATGGAATTCATTTACTTACCAACTGAATGGTTTGGTTTATCTGTGCTGCTTTTAAGATTTTCTTTCAAACGATTAGTTTCGGGATGCAGTTCACCGTCTGTTTCATTTAGTTCCAAGTCTTCAGCTGATTCAGATTTTCTCTCACCTTCTGTTAACGTTTACTTGGTATAGAACCTATTCTTAAATTAAAAAAAAATGAATACTTACTTGATAAGTCAGATGCATCTGCAACACTTGTAATATCAGGTTCATCCTCAAGTTGACTATTAGGTTCCACAACATCTTTGCTTTCTGCAGAATCTACCTTATTCTCAGTAATTGATTCTTCTGAAATTAAGATATTATGTTCACAATTAATGTATGCAATTATAAGGGATTTTAACATATCTTTGCTCCTCACCGATTTGGGGATCCGAGGTGATTTCTTGAACTGATGGTTCAGCAACTGCTTCCAATGGCTCTTGTACATTATTCTCGTCTGCGCTGCTTGAAATTATTTCATCTTTTGTAATAGTTCGTGCTTTTGGAATATCTTTTATTTTGGGTTCGGTATCTGATGTTTCTTCTACTTTCAGTTCTTGGTCGTTGTTTATCTGAACTTCCTCTTGATTAATAGGTTTCAATTCTGACTTAATAATGGGACTGATATCTTCTTTTATGAATGTCTGGTTGGTGGTTCCCAAATTTGAATTAACCAACTCTTCGTCTTCAATGCTTCTTTTTTCTCTAGTCTTCTGATTAATTTCATCTTCAATTGTAGACTTATTTTCTTCAGTTGCGGTTACAGCATCACCAGATGTTTCCAAAATTGTATCGTCTGAAGTTTCCATAGGAGACTCTTTAAATATAATAAAGAAAATGGAAAATGTTCTCTAAAAATGTTATTAGGCCTAGTACCTTGCTCTCTATTATGATTGACTAAAACCGTTGTTAAGCTATCTATTTCCACACTGGTTATATTTGTAGACTCATGTTCCTTCGAGTCTCCTTCAGTTAAATCCTTAGCTGTGTCCACTGTTAAAAAAAAATGTCAAAAATATTGTTCATAGTCTGACAAATGTTACATACCATTAGAATCTTGAAGAATTGGACTGGAGTCTTCCGAAATATCATCTACATGCTCAATTTCAATCGAAACCGTGGGAGTGACTTCGCTCTTAATTGGAGTTTCTTGGCTATCAGATCTTGTACTTTTGGGTGGTGGAATAATTTCATTGGACTCAATAATGGGTGTTTCATTTTCGATATTTTGCGCATCATCAGGAGAATCAATATTCTTTTTCTCATTATTTTCTTTTCCACCATTACTTTCTTTTTTTTCCATGGCGTTAGGTAATATAGCCTCTATAAATTCTCCGGTTTCTTGATCAACAATATCTTTGCTCAAGTTTTGTGTAATAATTTCACTCTCCTTTTTCAGTTCCAGGTCTTTTGAATCAGGTTCTATTTTAGGTTCAACTTGGCTTTCCGTTTCTACATCCAAGCTAGCTTTTTTAGCTGTAGATTCCAAATCGAGCTCTTCACCTTTCTTTTCAGGTATCAGTTCTGCTTGAGGTACCGATTCTAGATCTAGGCTTGCTTTATTATTTTGAATTTCAGGTTCTAGATCTTGACTAGTTTTATTTTTCTCCGCTTCGATTTCCAAATCCGCTTCAAAATCTTTAGATTCACTGTGGAAATCCTTAAGATTTTCCAAGCTAGGTTTGCGAATCATAGTTTCGATTAAAGCACCGCTAAGAATTTCTAAAAATTAAACGTAGCAATTAATTTGTTTGATGGAAAAACATTAGCATAGTTAATTACCGCTTTTCGCAGAAGCATCGATTTTTCTTGGCCCTTAATAGGTTCTGCCAAAAACTCCTTCTCAAGGCCGGCATCAACATTATTGTTCTCCACTTCCTCGTCCTCGTGGATTATTTTTTGATGGACTCTTTCCTCGTAAGTGGCCATTCCCAGCTCGGTGGATTCCGTGGAAAGGAGTGCGGTGGAGACGGATGTGTAGGATCCTGTCTCGGAGGCGTTGTCATTGAGTTCCTCGCCCTGATCGGTGGCTGAAGAAGTATTCCTTTTGGCCCTTTGTAAGGCCACCATCCTTCTGAAGGCCCTCTGGATTATGATGGCAGCAGTTGCTAAGGATACTGGGTCATTTTTCAATCGATTTTGCTCCTGCTTCTTTCTCAAATATATGCGATAATGTCGCTGAATGACGACAACGGCTTTCATATAGTCGCCAGTGTTAAATTTAGCATTCGGCTTTCGGACGTCACGTGAATTTTTAAGTTTTTCAACTCGCTTCTTGGCCAGAAAGCGACGAACTTGTCTTTGAATCAGGAGAATTGCTGTCACATATTCCACGCTATTGCATTTATCCTTATCTCGACCTATTTTCCGCTCGTTGAGAAATTGGCGAATTCGTCTTTGAATAATAACGACCGATTGCAAATAGGTTATTCTACTTGAAAATGTTCTCTGGTCTGCCTCAGCTAACTTGGTATCCGTATATCTATTTTCCACATCCTTGGTTTTTCCACTCAGTATTCGTCCACATTCACAGGTTACCTTCGATCCAGGAGTTACGTTTTCCTTGTCCTTCATTGAATTTTCATACGTCGAATACTTGGTGTACTCAATTCGACCAGACTTTTCCTTGGACAGCCTTTGAAAGTATTCCTGTGCGAATATGTAAATATTCTCAGGTTTTTCTCTTAGAACTGCCTTTATGAATTGCTTTATTAGATCAGTCAGCTTTTCGGGGATTATATTGAACACAAGTGATAAAGGAACCTGCTGACGAATGCGGTTTTTCATGATGGTTTCATAAGTTTGCACCGGTTCGTATTTTCGCACTGCTTTCTGTGATTTTTCCCCAACAATCAAATTGAAAAAATTGGCAGAAAATCCATACAAGTCAGCCGGCTTTTCACGTAACACCTCCTTGGTATACACCTTCATTAGGTCCCGAAGACCCTCGGGAACCCTAGGTAAACTCGTAGCCGTAGTCATTTTGGTATTTCAAGCACCATGCATCGGTAAAAGTTGAATCAATACTGACCAAGGAAGGTGTCCGAAAGTGCCTGGAAACCTCGACATGAAGGAGTTGCCATGTCAACACCTTTGGTGCCAAAACATATCACCAGCTGACGTCGACTCCACTTGTTGATCGAACGCGGACTATACCAATAATTATGGTGTTTATTCTTGGATTCTTGGTATATATCCCAGTATGTTATTTAAGGATCGAACCATTATGACGTTATTACCTAAAATATGACGCAGGTTACTGACGTTAAGACCCAATTTATTGGATATATTAGAATCAGAGTACAGTTTACATTTAAATACCTCAAGGTCGCTTATACATTTTTAAGTTAGACCATAAATATCTTATAAAATACCTTTGGTCTAACTGAACTATGTAGAAGTGACCTTGAAGGTGATTTTACACCATTAATTAACATCCTCTGATGACTCCACTATTTTACAAATGATTGGAATATCGTCAACGTGTGTACAGTCATTATCGGATGGCTTCAAAGTCTCGCGAATAAAGTCGTCTTTGAATTTTTTCCATTCACAAGATTTGAGATAGTGAGCGAAAAGGGCTTCCCTCGATGGAATCATGCACTCCATATATAAAAGCCTGCGCTCCCAAATATTTCCCGGATTTTGTTTCTTTTCAAGCAGGAAAAATCTGGGAATGATCAGACACTGAACCGTGGACCTGGCCATTACCACTCGGTGCTCCATTTTCTCGCCCAATCCGAAAATTCCTCCAAAAGTTATGGTACCCACATCGATGAAATGGCTTTCGAAAGTAGGTGCCTGCAACGGAAAGCCCAAGATGATCAAAAAATCAGTTTATAATATTTTTAATGGTATATTAACATTAAAAAGAACATTTTCAATTAAAGAATATATTCGGAAACTTACGGACGATTCTTCACTGCTCGAGCTAAAACTAGAGAAGGATGGGGAAAAAACCTCTCTTTCATCGGAAGCACTTCCAAGAAAACTATCAAAAGCAGGAGCGGTTCGGAAAACCTGATTGACTATACTGTCAAAATCTTCCGAAGTAGATGAACTTGATTCAATATCATCTTCGAACATTTCCCAAAAGTCCTCATACATGTCTTCATCGATAAAATCGTTAGCGGCATCAGAGGATGCGGAAATTATTGATTTATGATGGGTCGATCGGCGCCATGTGTAACGCGGCTTGGTCGTATGCATCGATTTTATTAGGCCGCATGACTTGGCTATATCTTGTAATCGCATTTTGCGCATCTATTTAATTGTTAAAATAATAAATAAAAAAATCAAAAACAAAATACTTTAGAAAATAAAAAAACGAAGGTTCTTAAATGACTACTTAAGGATTGGCATTTTTATTAAGAAGACTCACCGTCCGGTTGCGTATATTAATAGGTCCATTTTCCTTGAAACTGCTACTGGAACTTTCTACCAGATCAAGATCTACTTTTGAGACAGCCACTGAGTTTAGTTTAGTTTGCGTGGAAAAGGTGGATCTAACTCCTTTCCTAAACATTTCTGACACATCTCCTGCGGACGTTGGCATAAGCTCAAGGAACTTCTTTCCTTTTTTTAAACTAACCTAAAGACGGAGAAAAAATAGGTTTTATATAAAACAAATATAATATCTTCTGATCTGCAAACCTTCATATTGAGGCACTGGAGTATCAAACATTCTCCACTGAGCACAAAGTGGACATTTGTCATAGATCCTATGTCCTCACAGAATATGGTATCCAGGGGATCAAATTGTTTTAGCTTCCCGAATCGGCAGGCCTCCACGATCTATAGAATGTTGAAGAACAAATTTACTTAAATATGTTGGTTGTTCAATATTGCAATTTATTTGTTTGATTTTTAAATGTTGCATATTCTATAACTTTATTTATTTAAATGTAAATATTAAATGCTGAATATATAAAGTTGAATATTAATTGCAGAATGATAAATATGAAACGGTGAATATTCCATTTTAGATTTTTAATTTGGAATGACTGTGGCCTAGATCCAAAAACTATATAATTTATAAGAAATTAAAATGGAAGTGATTTTTTTAGGATGAAAATACAATTCCCGGTTTTTGTATGGTCAAACCCCTTCTGGGAATTCTACTCGCCTGGTCATTGTCGAGGAAATCAAAGTAGTCCAGCGCCTTGAGGGCCCTTTTCTTCTCGTCCCAAATCTTCGTCATGTAGGGCCCGAGAATCGGCGCAAAGTCATAGTCAAATAGTACCAGCAGTTCGCAGTAGGCTGCAAAGTGAAGCGTTCAATAGTTACGGGCGAACTGGCGAATCGGCGACTCCTCCCTCGAATCGGGCACATGGAATTGGAGTCCATGGAGCTGGCTCCTCGGTGGCGTGCATCTGTTTGTGAAAGATTGCCGGCACGAGGAGTAACAGGCACAACAGCCCAAAAATCAAGCCAAACGACTGCGCCAAAGGAAGGCGGGTGTTGTTTTGGGCCAACCTATATATTTGACTGAGTACTTTATACTCGGTCGGAATACTACGTGGAATTCGTGACGGACGCGGGCGGGGGTTATTTTGTTATTCATTTTGATTGAATCGAATTAGGACTTAACGTTGTTTATTGCTGATTAAATTGGTGGGTACAGGCAATCGCAAATGAAGCAACAAAACCAAACAAATTCCCAATAAACACAATCGTACATATCGCGTGCCTGGGCTATGTATTTCCCATTTATTTCTACATGAGCCGTAAACGTTGCAGTTTACCCAATTCACTTTCTTATCATCTTTAAGTGTGATTAAATTGGCACAATAACAGAATGTCCACAAGATTTATTTTTAAAAAATGCAAATGAATTGGATGTCTTATTTCGAGACGGAGGTCAAAAAGCATTAACCAACAACCTTAGATAAGCTGAAATTCTAAGGAATTGTTTTTAAAAACAACTGCAGTAATCGCATGCGATAACGGATTTTAAAATAAAAACAATGAATATTTACAGTTCGTAGGTCAGACAATTAATTTTAAACCTAAGATTTATGCTTACATGCTGTTTTAAAGGTGTGAGTTCGCTTGATACCTTCCAGTAGCTCCACATCCCCTATCATATCGCCTGGCCCCAAAATTCCCTGAAGCACCTTATCTCCCTCCTTGAAAATCAAGCGAAAGGAATAGCAATCATTTAAGGCTCTGTAAGTTTTTACCTGGCCGACTTCGTCCCGAAACATATGTACCTCCCCTGTTAATATAAAAAACACGGTTATGGGAACATCCGATTGTCTTATGATTTTGCGGCCAGCATCAACGGGCATAAAGCGAACCACAGGAACTAAGCGAGCTCTGATTTTCTGAAAGAATTTAGATTACTTTATAATCCTCTTCATATCTGATATTACTTTACTGGAGTGAATCGAACCAGGCATCTAAACTTAGCAAACATCGAACACAATTTCATTCTTTCCGGAATTGTGCGAATTGCGTGTGGTGTTCGTATTAACGACTTGTCCTGTTATAAAGTAAATATTAAATATGTAAATTGATTAGCATTATCCCAATAATTCTTTATACCGCTGCACTGAGGAAACCCGATTTGCGCTTGGTCCGAACTCGATTTGATACATTTCTCGGCACGTTTGCAGAAATCCTGGGGTCGTAATCGCTTTCTTTCCACGGATCATTAAAGCTCACCATGCGAACCACTTTTTTGAACAATGCCTTGAGAGCCTGAATCCTTTTCAGCTCTGCAGCAGTCTTCAAACGCCTTTGCATTTCTTTAAATTGTAAGCAAATACAAAAGAAATATATAAAAATGTAACCGAACAAAAAAGTGTTTTTATTCTATGCTAGTGACATTGTTTCAAATTGTTTTTGAAATACTCGCATATCTAAATCCTAAATAAGAACAATATAAACATCAATATCTTTAACTTTCTCTTGAGATGGAATTTTCAAATAGGCGCAAAAGGAAAATCGAATTCGGTTCGGTAGGCCGGTCAAAATTTATTGCTTACATAGATGTTTAAAAAATCATTCTAGTGTGAAATGGTGGCACGTGTGGATAAAACAATCCGCTGAAGGCCAAATGTATATGTGCGGCAAGTTCAATGGAACTTGATTTTTATTTTGGGATTTAACAAGACATTAATCTTTTAGTTGTTCACTGAATAGACTGTGTATATGTTCTCGTCCGTCCAGTCTCGAACGTGGACTTTTGGTTAATTGTAACATTTGTGACGCCTCATTAATATCAGCCTCATTATTGTAATTTGTGAATTTGGCTTAAATTTAGTTTAGTTCATTATAGATATTAGTAATATTAGTTAAATAGTTTCATTAAATTGTATTTGTTATACATGACTTTAATTAATAAAAACACAAACCAACCCCAAAACGTATACTCATTTCCCTAGCAAAATTTATATTATGCAGTGAAATTGGTTTTATAAAACTTGTAAACTAAAAATTGTTTAAAAACCCGTTAAATATTTCCCTAACCCTTTCGCTAGAGATGCCACTTTTAAGTTCCCGCCAAGAAAGGGAAAATTTCTAACAGCTGGCGCGTTGGCGCTTCCTTTTGAATGGCAAACGGGGAATTTCAGTTTGGTTGCCGTGGAGATCGCGATTAAAAAAGTTCGTTTTAAATAAGTCGCTTGTATTAGCATTTTAAAATAGCTGTTCTAGACTTCCAATGGATGCCAGTGTGGAGGAGAATGCTCCTAGCCAAAGGGATGCCGAGTGCAAAGTGAGTTTTTCTATAAATAGTGGATTTCCCTTGGATGGGGAAGTGAAAACTTTCTCTTTTTTCAGATGGCTAAAACGGAGGAGTCCGAAAAGCCATCAAATAGTATTGGATTGCTCCCGGTTATGATATTTCTGGCTGCCACAGTGACCACGGCGGTGGTGGTGGAACTCTTGCCGCATGCCAGCAAGGTTTTCCCCTGGAACTCCGCAGATTCTCTAGAGGATCAGCGGCAGCCACCGCCCACATATGCGATCTTCGGACGGAGTCCCACGGAGGAGCACCTGGTGCATGTAATCAATGTGCTGCACCAGTTTGGCTACCAACGAGTGGGCGTCAACGAGAGCTGGAACCTGCTGTGGGCCCACGACTATCCCTTTCTCTCGTTCGCCAACCTCAAGAATCTCGGCCAGCATCAGATGGTGAATCACCTGCCGGGCTGCGGTTACCTAACCAACAAGGTGGACCTCTGCACCACTCCGCTGCCCTTCCTGCCGCGTGCCTTTCGATTGCCAGCCGAGCGGCAGGAGTTCCTGGACTATGCCAGGAGTAATCCCCAGGCTCTTTTCGTCCAGAAGCACAATGAACACCGGCACATCAAGGTGCGAGCTCCCGCTGACATAGCTTTTGGCTCCAACGACTCATTTGTCCAGGAGTTCGTGCAAAGACCCTTCCTGGTGGATGGCCACAAGTTCGACATCGGAGTCTATGTGGTCATCACCTCGGTCAATCCCCTGCGAGTCTACATCTACACGGGTGACGTGCTGTTCCGGTACTGCCCCGTGAAGTACCATCCCTTCGATGCCGAGAATGTGGACAAGTACATTGTGGGCGATGACTACTTGCCCACCTGGGAGGTTCCCTCGCTGCGCAAGTATTACAATCGCTTTGGCGGCAGCATGCGCACCGTTTTCGAGGCCTATGTCCGGGATCAGGGCATGGATCCCGCCAAGATTTGGCCCCAGGTGGAGCACATAATCCGCACAACGATTGCGGCCAAGGAGAAGGACATCGTGAATATACTTAGCTCTTACAAGACTCACAACTTTTTCGATCTAATGCGATTTGATCTGTTCATCGACGAGGATCTGAAGGTCTTCCTCATGGAGGCCAACATGTCTCCAAATCTCTCCTCTGCTCATTTCAAGCCGAACTCGCTTTTGTACGAGCAGGTTCTCTACAGTGTTTTTAATCTGGTCGGAATTAGGCCACTCACTGCAACAAGTGGTTCATTGTAAGTATTAAATATTGAAATATCTAACAAGTTAATGAATTTATTTCTGTAAAGGCTTGCTGAAAGCAGCGAAATGATCACAGCCGATAAAAACCTGGCCACTGACTTGAACAAATGCGCTGCCCACGACTGCGACAAGTCCTGCAACAAGGAGGAGTGCGATCTCTGCCTGCATTGCCTCAGTGGATCGCAGTACAGGATGCTGCAGCAAGCTCATCAGGAGCACCTGCATCGCGTGGACATGAAGCGCATTTTCCCTCAGCCAATTGTAAGTAGAAAAACAATCATCTATCTAAACCACAAACTAATAAGATTATTTATTTATTGCAGCGGGATTTAAAGAGCTTCAATCTCAATGAGGAAATTGCTAATATGTCAAAGAAAAACGCTTGGATGACCCGCTGGTTCTACAACAAATGCCAATTCGATGCTGTCTGGTGCAATTAGATAATTTTAATTGAATATTTATGTAAATAGTTCTTGCGACTTGGTAACCTCTTATGCTCAGCATTAGTAAATTGGCCACCGATTGTACTTAGTTTTAAGCTGATAAAATAGAATGTTGTTAGTCAAGCAGTCATTAGTATTCAGTGCAAATTGTGAACTATTTTTAGCACCTTTAACCGGAGCTTGTTCTGCTCTTGGGTGCTTTAATTGACAACGAAAACATGTACAAATTATGCAAGCCGTCTTTAATTCGAATCCTTACCTGTAAAATAACTTAAGCTAAAAAGGCTATATTTAAATTACATAGATCTACATTTATAGATTTCGGTAATAAAATTTACATAAATTTATATACCTATCAAAAATGTCAGTATAACAATTGTTTTAAACAATAATAGCATTTAATGGTAACAAGTATATACCTTATATCACATCGTACGCAACAAGGGTGTTTGTGATGTATTTGTTACAAAAGCTTAAAAATGTGTAATATTAATATTTGGTACTCTTTTCCAAAAGGCCTATGTAGTATAGTAACAATGTTGAAAACAATACAACCCTTTGAGCTTTAAGAACTATGTATCTCTAATTTCGTTGGCCAAATAACTTACTGCTAATGGCCAAACCCGTTCGTTGCGGCAGGTCATTGTCCATTTCACCCGGGACCAGAGGGCCCTAACCAAGCAGCAGTTGTCGCCAGCGTCCTCGGCCATAATACCCATACACCAATATCGACTGTGGCGACATTGGCCGCACCGAACAGATCCGAACAGCACAGAACAGAACGTTAAAGCGATGCCGGCTCATTGCTGCAGTGCCTGTGCGATGGAACGGCGTACACTTATTGCAAACCGATAAGACGCGAGATATGTCAATGTCAACATAAACATAAGCAGCGGAATAAATACACATGGGCAGTGGCAATCAATGCCGCTGTGCCTGCAGAGAATCGCGACCTCGTCGCAACCCGGGCCATAATCGGAGCTACACGAGGAAATGTCAGGTTTGATAAAATATTGGCCGGCACACATTCTTACTCAGAGTGGAGAGTCCCAAAGTCCGAGAGGCCCGATAGTCCAGTCCCCAGAATAGATGGATGGATGGACGCGAGTCGTCTGTCCCCTCCCCCTCCCCCCCCTTCCATCCCCTAGAAGAGAAGCGGAGTGGAGTCGCTGAGCTGAGCTGATCGGAGCTGAGCTTTTTTGTCGAAATGGAGATGAAGACGGCGACGAAGACGCTTTGTCGGCAATTACTTGTGGCGGTGTGAAGCGATGGATTTATTGCCCCAACAGCTAATCAACCAGCTGAATTTATCGCTGACTTCATTCGACATTTAGAGGCTCCATACGCTGTGCATTAGTTGTGATTGCGATTGCGCCATGGGAAAATAAAAAGCGGCTCCTTGGACCAGGAAAAAAAGGGACACTGATCGGATCGGTTGGATCGGAGTGATAGGTGCAAATTGCTGTTTGATAAAAAGCTAATTCCCCCGAGTCCAAATCAGTGCGATGCAGTATCGGGTTCTAGGAACCCCCATACCATTGCCATGAACTTCGGTACTTAAAAGGCGTTCGGGCTTCCGTTTAACGGTCCGAGTGTATGTACCCCCGTTTGCCGTATACCCCCCCAAATACCAGGCGTAAACAACTTTTTCTCGGTTTTGGCTGCGGTGCCATCGTTCCGTAATTAATAGCGGCTCATGCGTGGCAATTTAAATAGCCGCTAATTGTAACCACCGTCAAACAGAACCAGTTAAAATGCCAGGAAATGGCCACCGTGCAGAAGGCATGGGCAGCGCCACATAGCCGAGTTGGCCGCATCTACATGGCCAGAAGCAGCTGCCGCTCGCACTCCTCTGAAATTTGTAATTTTGCTCTTAATGCCGGCGCATATTTCATTTGCATCTCGCAGGTCTTGGAGCCAAGAAGCTAACCATAAGCCAACCAAGAAGCTTAGGCACTGCCCCAAATGAAGTACTCCGCAGGATGGCTAATATGCGACCATGGGCGAACTGGTTCATTACATTATAATGTATATACTTCTTGTTTTTTTCCTTTTGGCTCATTTTCAAGCTTATACTTAACACCAAGATCGGGCTTTATATTGGGTAGGTTTTCGGTTTAGTTCAGTTTTGGTTTCCAGTATGCAAATTCCTGGAATCCAACATCTGTTATTCTTAAGGTCGTTACCTTGATGACACCACCATTAAACGAGATCCCGATCCCTATCCCCGTTGCCATTATTTCTCATGCATACGCTCATTAAGCTCGTAATCTGATATGCGTGCTTAAGTTTCCATTAAAAAACTGATTGGTCTTGAGCGAGTATTTCCTCGGGAAGTCAGGATTTTTTACTTGTCTCGATAAAAAATCTTAGTTTCATGCTTAGACTACATTCTTTTTTTAAGATAATGCTAGTTTTTTATTTACAATGCCAAGTCTCCCACGACCTAAGTGCAGAATCTAAAGTTTTCGTAATCCGAGATCTCCATTAGAGCAAAATAAAAATCTTTTAGGATCCTGTTGCCCAGAAAACATATGTAAACCATCTTAATAGTGCAATACTATACATTGGGAAATCTGCCCTTATAGGATATACAATTAACTTAGATGAGGAATGCAAGGCAATTCGGCATCCTAATTAAAGTCATGCGGCTTAATGTTGTTTTTATAAGAACAACTTTGTTTTAAGTAAGCATCTTGATGCAATTTAACCCCCTGATTGGTCGGAAAACCAGTGATTACTCGGGGAAACAGAAGAAATTGGAATTGCTAGCCAGATAAATGTGCGGGATAGGATGGCATAGGATGGGATACTTGCTGATGCGATTGGGTCGATGTGATGATGCATCTTGGCCGCGGTGCAAAAAAAAGAAGACAATACAAAGAGCTGCAAGGGACTATGGAATAAGTATGACTATCGAAGTGCAGCCAGCTATCCGGTTTGGTGGCCAAAACCAAAACCAAAGCAAAAACCGAAACCAAGAGCCTAAAACCCAGCAGTCGGCAGTGGCAACTGCGATGCGATGCGATGCTCATGGCCTGGATCAATTTCAATGCCTCCTTGCATCCGTTAGGTGACCTCGAGAACTTCAAAGAATTTGAATAGCTATTGAAAATTATGGTGCATGGATGGAATGGCCAGCGGCCAAAGAAAAGTGTCGGAGCTGCCGGTTCCCATATCCCAGGGTCTGCGGCCTGGAATGGAACCCAGCCAGCCAGCCATTGCAACTCCAGATCCAGATCCTTGTCTTCCTCCAGCTCCACACAGAGGTACATGTGCTTGTACGTACATACATGCACTCTCGAGTGTACTTACTTGACCCTAGAGTCTTGGGTCTGGGGTCTTGCCTTCCTCCGGAGATGAGATACTTTGCGCTATAAGTTTATGCAGATAAATGCGGGGACGTCTTTATTTTGCAACTGAACAAGGGCAGCCACGGAGACTTTTTGCGATTTAATATGGAGTGGATTTTAACATATTTTTTACGTTTTAATATGGAGTGGAATTTTACATATCTAATGGAAGATGGAAGTGATTTTGACGCATACCAAAGGATACATTCAAAGGAACCGGTAAGATTGAAAAAAGGAATAATAAATGTTGTTCCTAAAAAATACATTTATTTAGAAAGATATATGAAAACAAACCATAGGAAATTTGTTGTTATTTTAGAATATATCTAAAAAAAAAAATTTGTATATTTATAGGGTACTACAGTATAGTATACCCTATTTTCAAATATAAGTAAATACATTTAAAATGTTTTTAAAATGTTTGTCCACCTTAACTTTTTTTAAAGTCAATTATAAACTCATATGAACCCGTATTTTACTCTGCACGGGACTTGTGCCAAAAATGGGTCGAGCCCCCAAAAAGAACTTACTTTCGAACGCAATATTGATCTATGTTCATTGCCAGGAGATCGATTAAATATCAGGCGAAAGGGAAAACGCAGCCAAAGGCCCCCGTGGCTCCAGTTTCGGTTTGGTTTGGCAATCGCCACCCCACTCGGCAGCGGAAAACATGTGCCTATTGACAGAATATTGACAGAAGCTATTTCACTTTTCGGGGTGTGACAGACATGCCGGCGTTGCCTTTGCCTATGCCTTTTGCCCATGCTATCGCCGTTGCCGTCGACGACTGCACCACCCCCTCCAATTACACCGGAAAAAATAAGAACCTAACCAAACCCATAACCACAATTTTCAGGGAAATATTTTCACCAGGATATTACCAATATATTTCGTTTCCTGTAATAATAACCAACGTTTCTCTATCAATGAGACTAAGGTTACGATCCAACGAAACTTATATCACGAAGTTCTCGTGTACTCTTTATAACGAAGGATCCTTTCTTAAAACCAGTTATGATATACAACCCTAGACCTTGACTTCAGTAATACCTATATGAAATATATATGATGTGATGATGGCACTACGCAGAGCAAAGAAATGATATGTGATATTATGATAGAATTTATTAGCAAGATAGGTATCATATCATATCATCATATATAACTTCTTTCCTTCTGTGTAGTACCTCCCGAAATGAGCCTCCCCATTCCAGCCCCACCAACTTGCGGCCAACTGGAGGAGGAGCAGTCGGAGGAGTCCAGGGGAGCTGGGTTTCCGTCTGTGCCAAAAGTTTTGACTGCGATTCAATAAACAAACGGTATTATTAAATAATGCGCTCGTTTTGCAGCGTCGCAAGTTTTGGCCGAGAAATCGGTTCCGCTGCCCGATTTGTCTTATGCAGAGCCGCGACTGCAAATGGATTAATATCCATATATATATATATATATATGTATGTGCCCAGGTACAGCCATATATCCAAAGCCCAGCCGAATCGCCGCCAAATTCGGCGAGGCTCTGAAGTTGAACGGCGCTCCGCTCGGAGGTGTTTTAATGAATGTTGCCAGGATACAGGTGCCAGGTGAGGCCATTTTGTTATTTTTATTTGCTTTGACAGTCGGCACTTGAGCATCGGAGGAATCGGTGGAATCGGAGGAGTCGGAATCGGGCCGCGAATATATTGGCCAGTGTTCGAAAGGCCGAACAACCGATCGGAAATCCCGCCATGCGGACGCCCTTTGCCAACTTTGATTTTAACTTTTCGCCGGGCTGCAAGTGCGAGTGCTCGTGCTCGGAGTCGGGCATCAGAATCCTCATCACGTGTCCCGCCGAATCCTGTCCCGCGCTCCTGGTCATCCTCCATGGTATCCACCACGCGCATCCACCCCTCCTGACGGCGGTCCTCGAGCCTCGGGGTGAGTCCTCCTCCACCCCGTCCCAAAATCCAGTGCGCAACAATTTAAAAGTGCTTCCCTTGCATACGTGGCCATGCATGAATAAATCGAAATGGCTTAAGTATGTAAATTGCTGTAGATATAGGTATGTGCCTAGGCACGAACCTTTTGGGCAGGTGGGTTCTGCACAGGTGGGCTCTGCACCATCGTATGAGGCACTCAAATTAACGCCCGGCAAATATGTGGCGTGCGACATTGGCACCTCTATTATATAGAGACTAGTTTGATGCACGATTTCGGGGGGCAGAACATGTAGGATCAAAACTCCATTCCAATGAAATTGAAACTAATGGTTAATCCCCAACTAAAAATGAAAGTTGTTCCCTTGAATTTAACATGGCAGATATATTTTGTAAAAAAGTGTGTATTGTTAATTTACAATAAATTTAAAAGTAATAATAATTATTTAAAATGTTATTTTTAACTAGGAGTAATTAATAATATTCTATCTTTAAACTATTACATCTCCATAAAAACTACATTTTTGTTATGGCAGCCAAAAAAACGGAATTTTTATGGCGAAAAAAGGGTTAAAATTTTTGTCAAATATACAAAATTCAGATTTTTGTCAAAAATTCGACATTTTTCCATCGTAGTTCAGCCAAGTCAAGGCGTACAGCTTAAAGACCGACTGTTTTGAACAGCTTGGTAAATATGCTAACGATCCTCATCATTTTTAGGAAAATTTATTTTTTGACCAATTTTCTCAATATTTGTAGGGGTTACATGACTTTTTTTTCGAAAAATGGCAAAAATTAAACATTTTCAGGTTAGATTGCAAATCGATTGGAAATTAAACAACGAGCTCAACGAGGTATGACATTCCTCATTCTGACTTATATTTTTGTTATGGCAGACAAAAAACTGAATTTTTATGCCGAAAAAAAAGGTTACCATTTTTGTCAAAAATACAAAATTCAGATTTTTGTAAAAAATTCGACATTTTTTTCAGTTTTTCCATCGTAGTTCAGCCAAATTAAGCCGTACAGCTAAAAGACCGACTGTTTTGAACAGCTTGCTAAATATGCTAACGATCCTCATCACTTTTAGGAAAATTTATTTTCTGACCCATTTTCGCATTTTTTGAAGGGGTTACATCACTTTTTTTCGAAAAATGGCAAAAATTAAATATTTTCAGGTTGAAATGCCAATCGATTGGAAATTAAATATCAAGCTCAACGAGGTGTGACATTCCTCATTCTGACTTATATTTTTGTTATGGCAGCCAAAAAACTGAAGTTTTATGGCGAAAAAAGGTTTAAAATTTTTGTCAAAGATACAAAATTTCGAATGTTGTCAAAAATTTGACATTTTTTTTCGGTTTTTCCATCGTAGTTCAGCCAAATCATGGCGTACAGCTAAAAGACCGACTGTTTTGAACAGCTTGCTAAATATGCTAACGATCCTCATCACTTTTAGGAAAATTTATTTTCTGACCAATTTCCTCAATTTTTGTAGGGGTTACATCACTTTTTTTCGAAAAATGGCAAAAATTAAAAATTTTCAGGTTGAATTGCCAAACGATTGGAAATTAAGCAACGAGCTCAACGAGGTATGATATTCCTCATTCTGACTTATATTTTTGTTATGGCAGGCAAAAAACTGAATTTTTATGGCGAAAAAAGGGTTAACATTTGTGTCAAAAATACAAAACTCAGATTTTTGTCAAAAATTCGACATTTGTTTTCGGTTTTTCCATTGTAGTCCAGCCAAATCAAGTTATAAGTAGTTCCCTGGAATTTATTATTGCAGATAAATGTTCTATCCAATATTCATACTGCTAATATAAAATATAAGTTAAAAGGAATAATAGTGCCTAACTAAATAGAAAATTTTAAACTTAGAATATAAAGTATTTTATTAAAAATGTTATTTAAAAAAGGAGTGAAATATTGAGTAGTATTTATTAGCAGTACTTTACAAAAACTGAAAAAACCAAGAGTTCTGTAAGTAATTAAGTAAGTTAGGACGTAAAAAAATCATTTTTTATTATTTCTTCCGGTGAAAAACATTCGTGCACAACATGCAATAGCAAACTGTTAAACGCAATAAGCTGTAAAAAATATTAAAGGCAATATAAATGAACAAAATTAACCATGTTTTTGTGCCCTTGAAAGCCAGTACCATAAAATTTTGAAAAATATAAGAACTCATATTCCCAGAAGCCCAAGGATAAACAAAGGTCTTGGCCCCATAAAACATAGCCCCTAATCTATGCCTCTTTTTTTAAGAATGTTGAGGCAATTCATAAATCATTTTTTATTGGAAAAGTGTAGCCCACTCCTGGGTGGCTGACCCCAATTGGGCTATTTCAAAAATCCACCCGACCACTTTCCTCGGATGCACGTAACTCTAGTGAAATCTCGCTGAAATGGCCATTAAGGCAGAGTTTTGATTTGCGATCTGAGGGGTCAGTTGCGTGGATTGCGTGAATGCGAGAATAAAATGTATGAACGCCAATAGGGAATAATTAAGTATTCCAATATTCTCGCCACAATCGGCGGTTGGGAGCTGGGCTCGCATGCAAATGAAACCTCAACAAGTCAAACCGGAAACCCAAACATTTCGTTCAGTTTGCCTTTCACAAACCTACGGCGAATATGCCCAGGTGTAGGTGTGGAAAACTCCTCGGATTTCGGATCTCGGTCCTCGGGCTGGACTCAATCGGCGAGTGCAAAGGGCTCCAACCACCTGAGGTTCTCTGGGGCATACATATACCCACACTTTGCATATGGCCAGGATTCATGCCACCATTCATCCTGTTGTATAAATTAATGGAAAGTCCAGTAGCGTGTTTTGACCATGGCCGGTAACCATGGCGTTAGAGCTATAGGTAGAAAATAGAGAGAGGTCACTTCGGGAATATGTATGCAAATTGGACTAGGGTGTCTCAATGACATTCGCCGGAGTCACAATTCAGCCGTACTGGCCTCTGGTTCACCGAAACACCTTGCAAGAGTATACACTTGGGAATGGACTTTGAATAAATCGCGGCTTAATTCATTAATTTAGCCGGACATTCTCAGGGGAAGGCTGTAATTTCTTCGGACCCACGACTTTCCAGTCCTCGTCGATGGGGCTGTTCGCATGCAAATCATACCCAAAGTCCTTTAGACGTGGTCAAGACTTCGAGCTTAACGGTCGCTCGCGGTTTATTTCCCATATTTCTTGGTGATGGTGACGCGTTTTTTCTATGTTCTGTAACCAGACAAGTGTTAAATGATTATACAATTAAGTTTCTAATCTTGTGCTAAGAAGTCCATAAATAATAATAACCAATAACTTAATTTCCCCGATAAATCAGTTTAAAATCACGCATGTGAAATTACTTTGGGTCAATAAACTTGGTTTGGCGGATAGAAAAAAACACGCCAAGGCTGTCAGAAGAGCGAAAAATCAGCCAAATGGTCGAATCCAAGAATTTTCAACAAAAGCCAGATTAATTATTTTCAGGCAGAGAACTCTTTCTCTTGCCCCCGCCTCCTCGTTCTATTGATTTCCCTAAAAATACCTAAAAATAATTTGAGAAAGTGGAGAAGGTGCGATAACTGCTGGGTGCCGAGGTTGTTGTACCTCCGAATTTGATTTTAGCCCTCCGCTAAAGTGTTCGTTAGCCCCCCTCGATAAGCCATCTGCTAAGAGCTGGCTTCCTAAATAGAGCATCAGCAAAAGTATGTACTCCGCGAGTACGTGTGAAAACTTTCAATTCACTTTAGTAGTTGCCCGTGGAATGGCTTTCGGTGTCTTAAGTTCTTTGGAACTACAAATAAAAAACCGTCTGATAAGAGGCAATAAAACGAAATTGCAGCAATCCATTGCAGGTTTTAACAATTCGAAGCCACATGTTGCAGGCTGTCAAAGTCTGAGTTCCGCTGCCGAAGCGCATCGCGTGATTTGTGCCACATCTACATATATCTAAACTTCCCTGCGGATAAAGTTAACATGACAGTGAAAGCCCCAAACTTATGGCAAATATTGAATTTTGAATAACAACATGACATTTGATTTACTGCTGTCTTGTATTTCTGAAAAGGAATACCAAAATGTTTAAATTAAACATAGAAAGCTTTGAAGGATAATGGAGCGCAACAAATCGAGTATCAACTAAGAAATTTGAACAAAATGAGGTAAATACCATTTTCATCTTTGAACTTACTAGAAAAAGCCTATTTCTGTGTACTACTTGGTACCCATATATTTACTCGTACTTAAGTATGCATGGTAATGGTAATGGTAATCGACTTTTGACGTGTTCAATTTGATACGGACCTTTGGACTTCTGGACTAAGGAGTCGTCTGTATTTGTTTTGGCCCCCTGGCCACAAGGTCAGGCCGTCGTCATCGTCGAAATTAATATCTGTAGGTCAAAAAGGTTAGGTGCCGCTAAGCTAGTGTGTTCAAGTATTCAAGGTAAGGCCTAATCGAAAACCCATAAACCAGGCTCAACTGGTGGGTTAGATTTAGGGCGTAGCCAACCCATTGGCATTCGGATAAGCCATCTCTCTTTTTCTGGCTATGTGTACATCGTCCTCATTATTGGGTTGACCTTATTCGAGGAGCCTAGCCTGGGATATGGAAGAGTCGGGATAGCTAGAGCTTCGTCATCGAGAGACGTGACTAACAGGGACAGACCAAAAAAAAAAAAGGCTGGAAAAGTGTGTCACCACGTGGGCCCCCGGGCCAAATCTCAAGTTTTTCCAACTGCAGCCGAAAAGAAAAACCCCCATGTACACGGAGGTTAATATGAGAAATGGGTTCAACATCTGCTCCGAGTTCTGGTCTTGGGTTTTGGGCCTGGGATTCGGTAAACTCGTTTAGGTTGCCGCCCTCATTGTGTTTTTTTTTTGTATAGCTTTTTTTTTGTTCATTTTTGGCCGTGTATAAATATCCTATAGACAGCAGACAGCGGCACTGGAAAAATATTTTAATGTACCTACGATAGGCTGCTCCGGCGCTCTGCCGGCTGCATAGATGCAGGTCACAAGATAAATAGCACAGAACACGATTACACATATTGAACAAGCTGAAAACATGATCGAATTACTGCAATTTCGTGTGTAGCATTTTCCGGGCCAACGCCGAGGAACCAACCCGAAAAACATTGGTTCTGTAAATGTTTTAATTTGTTCCGGGGGAGGAGGTAGGGGGCTATCGGCCAAATTAATTAAACAGACGTACATAAGTCATTAATCGAAAACATGTCGGTTTTAAATATTAGCATAGTCACGGCTTGGTTGGACAACCATTACAAACAATGACCTTTACAATATTTTCCTGTCGGCAAGAAACCCATATCCAAATTACTCATTTCGAAAGATTACATAATAATAAATGAGACCATTACATCAACAACTTAAAGTTTTCAAAATCTGTAAGGATATTAAATGTAACACGTCATAAACATTTTAAACATATACCGAAAACCTTAAGTATTAACATTATCTCTGACGAAATTTCAAATGGATCCTAAATTGAACTATTATGTTCGAAATAAAATAAGATAATTAAAGACTTAGATATAATAAACATTGACTTTAAATATAATTAAGTCAAACTAACACCTTAAAGTTTTCAAAACGTAAAGATATTTCCTGTAAGAAATCATAAACCTTTTAAACATATAACCAAAACCTTAAGCATCAACTTGATATTTCTCAGGAAACTTAAATAGGATCATAAATTGAAGTATTATGTTTCTAGACAAAATAAGCTCATTAAAGATTTAGATATAATACACTTTTTCTTTTAATAGACAATCTATTACTTTTCGCGTGAAACCGTCAATGTGCTTTAATTTTGCGCCTTAAAAATGGTAATAAAATCACCAAAATAAGCACCGATATATAACATGCTATAATGACTTCATGGCTTAATTCCGAGTGTTTTAAAGTCACGAAAAAAGCTACAAATTACCTATTGTATAAGCCGGGGCAAATTTGTGGCCAATACTCGTTGTTAAATAATTGAAAGAAACGCCATTTGCATGTGCGAACGCAACCGAACACAAGAGCTGCAGGATTAATTGCGGACTCGTCCGCTTCCGATAGTTCTCAGGCTTGTTTATTATTGGGAATATATCAAGGTTCATTCGAGTGGATGTGGTATGGATGTGGATCTGGCTATGATGTTGTTGTACCTACCGGCGAGCGAAACGGGTTTGCTGTGCTGCTCCCACAAAAACAAGAGTGGGTTTTGCTTTGCTTTTGGGTTTGTTGTCGAAAGAGAAAGACTGCGAGAGAGAGAGAGAAACCGGCTTTCTGCGGTCTTTCTGCGGAGAATTCTCCCCGTCAAGATAAGCTCCACTAGTCCAGCTCGCCACTCTTTCCGGACCATTGGCGGCAGCAGTAGCACTTTGTCGTCGGCGCGCTTTACAACAGACCCGGATCGGATCGGCTATACCCCTATACCAACGATTAAATCGTGATCGCGATCGGAATTGGAATTGAAATCGGGATCGAGTCGAGTAAAGTCAAGCGGTGGTATAATTGCGGCAATTTAATGTGGACGGTGAACTGCTGACGCTGCTGTACATACTTTTCAGTTTTGCAACCGGAGACTCCACTTTAATCGAACAATCGGACAAAAGAACGTTTAGCAAATTCGCCAAGTTCCCGAAATAATCCATCCCAGTATCGAGTTACGCCAAGAATGGTTTCCTAGTAGTGACTGACAGGTCTGCCGTCCCGAGATCCCCATTAATTTCGAACCGATCTGATCGACTTTGATCTAATCCGAAGGCAAGGTCGTTGAGGGTTCATTCAAGCGAAGCACCAAATTGGTCATCTGAGCAGCTTAGAAAACACGGATCATCGAGAGCAGCGGTTCGGTTTCAATTTTCGTTCGGTTTTTTGTGATTTCTTGTCTCACATATACGATTTATTGAAGACGTGCTGCTGGACGCGGAAGGATAGTTTGTGAGAGAAAACATAAGAAAAACGTTGAAAAATGTGCCTCTAAATTAGCCCCCAAATGTGCTGCAGCGATTTTAAGACATGGACTATTAATATTCAGTGCGGGTCCGAAAATGTCAATCACTTGATTACAAACGACAAACAAAATCAGTGAAGTGCTCGAATTTGGGTTGCATAAATAAGGCGACCACATGGAAAGTTGAAATTAAAAGTCAGACTGTGAAGATACGACGATTTTTCACTGGAGTTCACAACGCAGCTATATTTAACCATTCAAAAGGTATAATTGAACTAGTTTGTATGTACATATTTAATCAACTGTGCGAGGGAGAAAATATATAAATCAAGTCTCTGCTGACGAGATAAAATAATAAATAACAAATAATACAAAGGTGGAGGTAACAATAACTCTCCTTTGTAATGTTATATTAGGTGATTTTTTGAAAATACAAAAAAGAGGTGTCAAAAAATATATGAAGGGGATACACTAAACAAAATAGTTGAGCATTTTACCCTAGATAGCCTTTAAGTATTCTATATAGATTCTTCTAAGAGTTGGTTAATGATCTTAACTATGAAATATAGTTTATTAATAGACTGCTCGTATTAACTATGAAACATCGTTTATTAATAAACTAATCGTATTTCAACAGACCCCCAAAGTAACCCTATCTTTCGAACCTTTTTCCTGAAATCAATGATCTGGCTGGATGATTTCCCAGTAAACACCTACTTTGCATCTAAATTGGGGGATAATCCCCCATAAATACTCGAAACATGGAGCCATATGGTGAATCTAATCAAATGATTTGCTCAGTCGGTCCATGTTGATGGATTACATAACGATGTACATTGTACATTCATCTGTAAGCGACTGTTGCTGCAGGAACTAGCCAAGTCGGTAGATATATATAGATATCTGTATATATATCTGTAGCCACGCAAACACGATGGCTACCAGCCAACGCAAAAGCAAACAGAAACTCAAACTCGACTCAAACTGAAGCCCAAACTACATACCTGGGCACTTACCTGAGCGGCAAAAACAACATCGGAGCGACCTTGCCTGACCCACTTTACTCGGGGCAGTGCCAAAATTGACAGCTTTGCGGCATTTTAAAATTTATGCTGCAGAATTATCCATAATGGCTGTTTGGCTGTTTTTTTTTTTATGTGCCGTACCGTGCGTGCCTGAGCATCGAAAATGTGCATTCGTGCCTCGTTTAGCAGTTGGTCCCGGTTCTCGAAAGTTAAACTTTTCCCGGCCATCGATCTGCCGCTTGCTTTCATTTATAAAAAATCAGACACGCCGCTCAGGGGTGCAGTCATACGGCCATAGAGCCATATAGCCATAGAGTTATATAGCATATAGTCGTTTAGTCGGCCTGTCAGATGGGTTCGACGGTCTATGATTTATTTTGTATTTTCTTACAAGCCGAGCGGAGACGGGCCATACATATTTATTAATTGGGGGGCAGGCTGTTGGCCTCTACTAAAACGCCAAATTAGACTACTGGAAAGCCATTCGATCGCTGCATCCCGATTAACAGTGCCCCGAGATGGAGACTGAGTCGGAGCCGCTTAAAGTTAATTACATCGCGTTCGTTGCCTCAGTCTTTCGATTGCTGCGAGGCAACGGGACGCACATCCACGTACTTCAGCTGGCTCGTAATGGCGACTAGTTCTCGACGGTTGCCCAACAGTCTGGAGTCGTTAAAGTGTCGTTCAACCGGGGTTTTAAAATCACAATTCGGAGACTGAATCCAAATCTGAAGCCTTTTGGCCAACCGACCCGACCGAACCGACCGACCGCATGCAGAATGAAGAACAATAACCGCGCGAAGGCACATAAAGACATTTATTTATGCTCGACGCCCACAATGTCGCCGCTGCAGTCTGGCCCACAGTCAGCAGTCAACAGTCTCGTACCGCTCTTGGCCTAAACACTCTTGGCCAACTCTCAGCGCGTCCCATTTGCCAAAGTGGAAATAAATTTTTGCTTTATTGAGGAGAGCAATTATGGCCTACAACGATGCGGCGATCCCTTACAACGGCTGCAAATAGATTTTCTGTTCTTCAAAACAGCCCTGGCCTCCGCTCCAATCCCAATCCGAATCTTGCTTGCCTTGCACTGAAAGAAAAGCGTGGTAAATTAGGGGTTTTAGCCTATTTAATTGATTTTTAAGGTGCTAATTCAAGAACCAATAGTTAGGTAA